TGAGACGGGTCTTGAAGGAGGCAAAGGAGGGAGTTAGCTGGAGCAACTGTGTGATGGAATTGCCAGAGGGTGGGGGCAGAAAGGCTGAAGGCCCTCCTGCCAATCGTGGGGCGGGCATGGTGAGGGACGTGAAGCAGGCCGGAGCTCACTGAGCGCAGGGATCGGACAGGTTGGTAGGGGATTAAGACAGAGGTAGGGAGAAGCAAAGCCGTGGTGGGCTTTAAAGGTGAGGACCAGGATCTTGAACTGTATCCCCTGAGCGATGGAGAGCCAGTGGAGTTGGGTGAGGGTGGGGGTGATGGGGTCACAATGCCTGGTACAGGAGAAGACACGGGCTGCAGAGTTTTGGATAATCTGCAGCCTGTTGAGGGTGGAGTTGCCCACTTGCAAATCAGTTTTTGTGCTTAGACTAACTTTCAGGGAAAGACCGATGGACTTCCTTTTCCATTTCCATTTCAGTGATTCTTGGAAACTTCTGGGAATTATAGCCTGCTAGAAGATAAGACAGCACAGCACATGACCAACAATCCTTCCCTGAGAGAAGGAAGGAAATTGGGATTTCAAATCATGAAACTATTATAATTTAATGCTATTTATTGTATTTTGATTTATTTGAAATGCCAAAAGGGTTGATGAGGTGAACATTGATGGGTTGTTGGTGAGGCTATAACTAGAGGGCGTAATACAAGATGGTGAGTAACAGATCTCATTGGTAGTTTAGGAGGAACTTCTTTACACAGGGGGTGGTGAGAATGTGGAACTGACTGCGGGAAGCTGTGGTTGAAGCAGAAAAATACATTAGAATATACAGCAGAGAGACAGGCCATTCAGCCCAACTGGTCTATGCCCGTGTTTATGCTCCACGTGAGCCTCCTTCTGCCCTTCCTCAACTAAGACTTCAAGCATAACCTTCTATTCCTTTCTCCTGCATGTACCTATCGAGCTTCCCCTTCAATACATCTATGCTATTTGCCTCAACAACTCCTTGTGGTAGCAAGTTCCACATTCCTTGTGTGAAGAAATTTCTTCTAACTTCCCCATTTGATCAGGCAACATCAACCTCCATGGTTGCACACTTCAACTCATCAAGCCAGTCAGGAACCTAAGGTGTCTTGTTCGACCCTCAACTGTCTTTTCTTCCCCACATCCAAGCCATGACCCGCTCTGCCTTCCCTCACCTCTGTAATATCGCCCGACTCCGCCAATACCTCACCCCTCAGGCCGCTGAAACTCTTGTTCATGCCTTCATCACCTCCAGGCTCGACTATGCAAACGTCCTGCTTGTCGGCCTTCCCAACGCCTCCCTCCACAGGCTGCAGATAATCCAGAACTCTGCAGCCCGTGTCCTCTCCCGCATCAAACTCCGTGACCCCATCTCGCTCGACTCCATTGGCTCCCTATCCTTCAGAGGATCCAGTTCAAAATGCTGGTCCTCACCTACAAAGCCCTCAATGGTCTCGCCCCACCCTATGTGACCTCCTAACCCCCTACCAACCTGCCTGCTCCCTCTGCTCAGCCGGCTCTGGCCTGCTCCACGTCCCCCAACCCACTCGCCCCACCATTGCCGGGAGAGCCTTCAGCCACTCTGCCCCCAACCTCTGGAACTCCATCCCCCAATCACTCTGCCTCGCCCTCTCCTTAGCCTCCTTCAAGTCCCGCCTCAAGATCCTCCTTTTCGACCATGCCATCGGCCAACCCCCTTCCCCTCCCTTCCTTTCTCCCCCCTGACCCCAGCTCAGCTCTGAAATGCTGTTCGCTGTCCAGCGCCTTGGGACATCCTCCCGACATGAAAGGCGCTATACAAATGTAATCCTGTTGTTGTTGTTGATCTATTTGTACTATTTTACATTGATGGCCCCTGGTTTTGGTCTCTCCCACAAGTGGAAACATCTTCTTTATGTCTACCCTATCAAAACCTTTCATAATTGTAAAGACCTCTATCAGGTCATCCCTTACTCTCCTCTTTTCAAGAGAAAAGAGTTCAAGCTTGTTCAGCCTTTCCTGATAGGTATAACTTCTCAGTTCTGGGATCATCCTTGTGAATCTCCTTTGCACCCTCTCCAGTGCCTCCACATCCCTTCTATAATGTGGGGACCATAACTGCACACAGTATTCTAAGTGGGTTCTAACCAAGGTTCGAAAGAAGTTTACCATAACTTCCCTGCTTTTCATTTCTGTCCCTCCCAATGTCTGGTTTGCCTTTTTTATGGCCTTATTAACCAGCATTGCTACTTTTAGTGAATTGTGTATGTGTACTCCTAGATCCCTTTGCTCCTCTACCCCATTTAGATTCTTATTTTCCAGGATGAATGTGACTTTTGGCTGCCGTGTTCATTCAAAATATTTAAGAGGAAATCTGATGCATACATAAGGAAGAAGGGTGTAGGAGAGGGGAATAGGAGGCTTGTGTGGGACTATAAATATTGGCACAGACTAGTTGGGCAAATGGCCTGTTTCCATACTGTACAGTCTCTACAATTAATATTAATAATAATAATCTTTGGATTTTATACAGTGCCTTTCATATTGGGAGGACATCTCAAAGGATATACACTTCATGGGATTTACTATAAAGTATAGTGACTGTGTATTTCCCATTTGTCAGCCTGACTCAATTGGTAGTGCTCTCGCCTCTGAGTCAAAGGGTTATGGGTTCTCGCCCCATGTCAGGATTTTCAGTCTAGGCAGACACTTTAATGCAATGTTTGATGTGTGCTGCATTGTCGGAGGTGCCATCCTTCCGATGAGACGTTAAATCCAGGTCCACGTCTGAGCTTGTTCAGGTGGATGTTAAAGATCCCGCGGCGCTACTTGAAAAGAGGAGTTTCTCTCTCTCGATGTCTTGGCTGACAATCCCCCAGACTAAAATTGATCAGTCACTCGATGGCAGTTTATGGGACATTGCTGTGAAATATTATAATGCACTTTGAGACGTCTTGCTGACGTGAAAGATGCTGTGTATATATTCTGTGAAGCCCTCTGAGACGTCCAGCGGCTTGGGCCATGCTCCCGACGTGAAAGGAGCTATACAAATGTAATTTTGTTGCTGATGTTTGTTGTTGTTGTTGTCCTCAATGACGTAATCAAATGCAAAGATTCTTCTTCTTAGTTATTTAATCAATTCCTGTGAGAGAGACACTTACTCAGCGCCAACCACAGTGATAGGAGTGAATTATTGTTTCACTCTCTTTCTAATACTTCTCTGCTTTATTTTGTTTGTAATTTTAAATTACATCCCTGAACTTCCAGCATCTTTGAGTTGGTGGGGCTCCAAGGTTACACGTTTGGCAATGGAATGTCGGAATCGAATCAGCCCTCTGTGATGGTCTCTATTCCGGTTCCTGCGTCCGCAGTATCCCAGGGCATTGCACAGCCAGCCTGGCTCATCATTAGGACTTGGAAGGATAGAACAGTCACTTGGGGCACGGAATCCTCCCACTTAGCTCTTGTTAACCCTGAAAGTCAAAGCCCTAATGAGTAGGATGGACAAGCAGGGGGACAGCTTGCCAGACAGTGCTATCTATGGCAAGCTGTGCAGTTTTAGCTGGTTAAACTCCAGCAGTTACCCCAACACATACTCCGGGGACCCCAAGCCTTGACTCATGCCAACCAGCGCCTCTTACACTCCGGATGGGAAGGGTGGCCTAGTCTTTGTCGAGTCTTCACCTCAAGGACCTTCGAAACACTTCCCACCAAAACTGCCCCCCAGCCCCACCACCTCAGACTTGCTTACTGTCTCCTTATCTAGCCTGCTTCTTAGCCTTGTCCTTCCTCCCCTCCTGTTGGGCCTCCCTATAGTCTTCTCCACCTCACATTATGCTCTAAATACTCACCAGAAATAGTGGCCCCTTCCTTCTCAGGATGGGGAAGCTACAGTAAGGTTAGTGAGCATAGTAAGCCCTCTGGTTTGGAGCCCAGCCTGAGACTTCCTGCTCTGGCCAGTAAATAACTGACTTCAGTCAGAATTATGCGACCGACTAAAACTTTAAAACCTGTTGGCTCCCTCTGCTAGGTGGGCACTGATCTGCTCCATGTCCCCCACCCTGCCGGCTCCACCATCGGCAGTCGTAACTTCAGATCTTGCTCCTCCACCCTCTGGAACTCCATCCAAGAGCTCCACCTCGACCTTGCCTCCTTCAAGGCCTGTCTTAAGACTTTTCTCTTTGACTGCACCTTCAGTCATCTTCCCATCTTCAAACCCCCTTGCCCTCCACCCCTCTTGACTCCAACCCCCAGCTTGGGTGCAAATCCTTCACTGCCTTGGGATGTTTTTCGATGTGGAAGGCACTGTATAGATGCAATTTGTTGTTGTTGTTATGTTCTAAAAATCCAATCGATATAAATACCCTTGGTCTCTTATCCAACTCCATCCCATCAGTCACAGGTACAGGGAGTTCTGTAGTGTAGTGGTTAATGTGCCCACCTCCCAAGTGAGAGGAGACGGATTTGATTCCCAGGCAAGTTTCCTTACTCCACACACCTCTGTTTACCTAGCAGTAAGTAGGAACCCAGTTGTTAATAGATTGGCGGATCGCTTTCTGGGGATAATAATCCTCCAAAAAATGATCAAAAAATGTGGTCACTCAATCCATGACTGTTTGTGGGACACTGCTGTATGCGATTGGCTGCCGCATTTCGCCCACAAAATATACAGTCAATTCACCTAAAAATATATTCTGTGAAGCGCTTTAAGACATCTCAATGATGCGATAAGCTGTTATATCAAATTACTATTTATAGGATTATTATTATTCCCTTTCGGCCCCTGGTTACTTGGGCGCCAGTCAGGAGTGCCAAGCGCTTTGAGACATCCTCCCCACTTGAAACGCTCTGTTTAAGTGTCAATTGTATTATAAATTGATTACTCTTTTGATCTCCCCCCCCCATACACACACAATAACAAATTTGCAACTTGATTCAAATGCCAATCAACGAGGCAGATTTTGTTTTTCTTAGGCTAGGGAGAGACATTTAATATTCTTCTTCTATTCTCTTCTCAGCTGTGTGGAATTTTGTGGCTACAAACGAGAATCACCTCTCTCTTCTGATCGGAGACACAGTACACATCCAGCACGCCTGTGAAGGTGAGTGACATTAATAATAATAATCCTTGCATTTCACCTAGCGCCTTATCACAACATCAAGGCATCTCACAGAGCTTCCTACGATATTACGAAGTGCAGTGACCGTATTTCTCTCAGCAATCAATTTGCGCACTGCAACATCCACTCCAAAGAACTCTGAGGCACTGCCACATTCGAAGGGTACTATATAAATGCAAGTTATTGTTGTCCCACAATTTTATTGAGTGTCCAATTTTATCTGGGGGATTGTTGGCCAGGACACCGGGAGAAAGAAACTGGCTTCTCTTTTCCAACAGTGCCATAGGATCTTTGATGTCCACCTGTACAGGTACAGACGGGTCCTTGATTTAACATGGGGCCTTGAACCCACAACCTTCTGACTCAGAGACGAGAGAGCTATCAACCGAACCAGGCTGAGACCTGAAGAGGTTTATTGCACTATAATAATAATAATAATTTGATACAACATACTTGGTATAACATAGAAATGTCTTCAAACGCTTCATAGGGAACTGCCCACAAATACACAGTCACTACACTTGACAGCAAATTTTGATATTATACGCACTACTTGTCTCAGTCTGACTCAGTCGATAGTACTCTCGACTGAGTCCCACTTCGGGACTTTTGAGCTCATCCAGTCTGTGGGGTAACTAATGGGGGAGAGGTTAATTAAATGGGCTCTTTGATGCTTACCAGTCAATGCAATCACTCTGACAGACAAATTGAACCGTGTAATTACAAAGTGGAATGGATTGGATGAAATTGAGTTGTTTGGTGGCTGATACTAAGGTGAGGACCTCAATCCATAGCAGGCTGAACCAGATGACAGTTGTCACAGTTGGAGGTCACGAAACAGCCAGCCTTTAGAGGAAAAACACTAGCAAGTCAGCAAGAAACAGGGACTTAGTAATGGATGGAGGAAGAACTTCTTATAGCATCTGGTTATAATAATAACCCTTGCATTTCATATAGCACTGTATAACATCATTGACATGACTCAAAGCGCTTCACAGAATATATTGTAAAGTGAATTGACAGTGGGTATTTTGTGGATGAAATTTGACAGCCAATTGGGCACAGCAAAATCACATTGTAACGTCTTAAGGAGCTTCGCACGGATTGTTGTAAAGTGTAGTAACTGTGTATTGTTACATCTTATCACAAAATGCCTCAACGAGCTTTGCAGGAATTGTTGCTCATTGGATTGCCCAACTCCTCCCTCCAAAAGCTGTAGATACTTCAGAACTCTGCAGCCTGTCTTCTCTCACACACTAAATTCCGTGACCCTATCACCCCCACCCTCACTCGGCACCACTGGATCCCCATCCCCCGGAGGATTCAGTTCAAAATCCTTGTCCTCAGTTTTAAAGCCCTCCACGGTCTTGCTCCACCATACCTCTATGGCCTTTTTATACCCTACCAACCTGCCTGTTCCCTCACTCAGCAGTCAGTGGCCCCCCAGCCGACCTCAACATGGGCGGGCTTCCAGACTTTCTGCCCCCACCCTCTGGAACTCCATCCTAGAGTCCCTTCACCTCACACCTTCCATCGCCTCCTTCAAGCTCCAACTCAAAACCTTCCTCTGACTACACTGTCAGTCATCTTCACCCACTCACCCCCACCTCCATCCAATCCCCAGCTCGGGTGCAAATCCTCAACTGTCCAATGCCTTGGGATGTTCTCCTGTCATGAAAGGCACTATATAAATGCAATTTTTGTTATTGTCAAATGTTGTCATTGTCGGCAAGCATGGCACGCATTTTATGCATAGCAAGGTCCCACCAATAAGCCATGAGGTGAATTGGCAACTGTCTCAATGGTTGTTGGTCAGGACATTGGGAAAAACTTCCTTCTCTTTTCCAATAATGCCATGTCATATAAAACATTTATCTGAAGAACAGACAAATCTCATTTTAACATCTAACCCAAAGGGCAGCACCTCCAACAATGTAATGCTCCCCCCAGGATACCACTGGAGCATCAGCCTTAACTGTCAGATCAACATTTGTGGGGCTTGAACCCAGAACCATCAGCCCCAGCAGCTACTGACGCAAGTGGACACATATAGGCTACCTTACACTTCAGCTCCATGAAGTGTCTTTGGAGTCCTGTAGCTCAGTGGTTAGAGAACTCGCCTCGCACGCGAGAGACCTGGTTTCAATTCCCAGCAGGTCGAAACCTTGGGCAGGTTTCCTTACTCCACACGCCTGATAAAAATCCCTCAAGAAAAAAACCAATAATAAATTGGTCATTTTCAATCCACAATTGTTTGTGGGACACTGCTGTGCACAATTGACTGCTGCGTTTCGCCCAAAAGTATACAGTCAATTCACTTTACAGTATATTGTGTGAAGCACTTTGAGACGTCTAGAAGACGTGAAAAGCGCTATATCAAAAGCAATGATTATTATTATTATTATTATTATGAAGTGTCCTTAAAACCAGGGAAAACCAAGACTTGTTCAGGACTGAAGACAATAGAATGACAGTTCATTTATTCTGTTACAGAAAAGCTGCTGATATATCACTGAGAAATATTTACATGGGTTCTACCGAAAATGATCTTGTCCCTGTTTCCCATACCATCCCTTGCCATCCTTTGCCGACATAATTGGATGTGATTGAATGGGATAGGATAGGAAGTTTTGGGAAGGGATATGATGGGATGTGCTGGGAAGGGAAAGGAAGGGAGGAAGCTCACAAAATCCAAACAGCCATATCACTATACAATATATCCTGTGAAGCGCATTGAGACATCTTGACAACATTATGAAAGGCAAGATTTGTTTTTGTTATTATTATTATTATGATGTTATTACAGTTTACATGACGATGTTATTACAGTTTCTAATTGTTTTTCAGTGATGATTGAGCTCCGTCATTCAACAAACAGCCATTTGTTGAACTCTGTTCACTTTTGTACCATGTGTACAAAATTATTTAGCTAAATAAAAATAATAATAATAAATTGGTCACTTCAATGCACGACTGTTTGTGGGGACTGCTGTGTGCAATTGGCTGCCACATTTCGCCCACAAAATATACAGTCAATTCGCTTTACACTATGTTCTGTGAAACGCTTTGAAATGTCTCGAAAATGTGATCAGGCACTGTATCAAATACAAGGATTATTATTATTATAGTCAGCCAGACCAATAACACTGCCACTTTACATATGATTGGATGTTACTTTTCTTAGTAACTAAATAGCTACTTTTTGCAGAAGGTTGATATTTTGTTCATTATTATTATTATTTATTATTATCATCATCGCACTCTTCCCTTTCCATCCCATCCCTTCCTTTCCCTTCCCATCCAATCATTATACCCATCCGATCCCATCCTATATAACAACATCACTATATAAAATAAGCAAGCAACATTGGCAGGCACACTGGGTAGACAGGATCTCATCCCTTCTCTATTCAGATGGTTTTAATGGAATAGGAGATACCTGTGTCTCAAAATAATTACATTGGATTGAATTTCGAAGGCATTAAAATTTTACCTTTGTCAAAGTCACCACAGCTTTCAGAATTACGATGCTGTGCAATTAGGGAATTACAGACAGAACATAATTAAAATCACTAAATTAATCATTTGATGTACAGATTCAGCTAAAAAAAGGTTAATTTTGTTTAATTACAGTAAATCTTGGAATGCAAAACAGTTTTTATTGATCTGACCATACCGGTTGACTCTCATTGCAAAGAGAGCTACAAAGAGTCTGGCTGAGAGTTGTATTTGCATAGATCTTAGCTAAGGGAATAAGACCGAAGCAAATATTCCCTCAGTCTTGCCCATACCCTACCTCTGCAACCTCCTGCAACCCTATTGACCCGGCCACTCCCTCTGCTCAACGATCAATAGCCTGCTTCACGTCCACTGCCAGACCCACACCACCATCGGCAGCTCTCTTACCCTGCTCTCTGGAACTCCATCCCTCCAAATCGTCCCCTCCATTCCCATCTTTTAAACCCGTCTCAAGGCTAATCTGGCCAACAATTCCCCAAATTAAAAAAATGGTCAATCACTCCACCACTGTTTATGGGACACTGCTGTGCGCAATTGGATGCCACGTTTTACCCACAAAATACACAGTCAATCCACTTTACAGTTTATCCTGTGAAGTGCTTTGAGATGTTTCAACAAGGTGCTACATCAAATGCAAAGATTATTATTATTACCTCTTTGACTGTACCTCTTTGAGAATAATAATTATTCTTGCCTCTGTTTACCTGGTATTAAGTAGGAACCTGGATGTTAAGTCTATTGGCTTTCTGGGGGTAATATTCTTCAAAAAAATAATAATAATTTGGTCGACTGTTTTTGGGACATACCGTGCACAAATGGCTGCCATGTTTCGCCCACAAAATATAGTAAATTTACTTTATTATTGTTATTACCTTTGACTGCACTTTTGAGTATATTTCCCCTCCCCCAGACAGTCGTGTGAAGCCTTTTCAGTCATTTTGTTGTGAATATAAATGCAGTATAGAAAACAACTTTGATATAAACCTATATATTGTTAAGAATTTGGATAATCCATCCCCACAAGACGCTCATGAAGATTCATCAATGGAATCCTTCACAAAGGGGAACCGCATAATTATTCCAATAAGGTACCATATTGTTGGGGGTGCCGTGTTTCAGATGAGATGTGAAACCGAGGCCCCATCTGTGCCTGTTCAGGTGGATGCTAAATATCCCCTGACACTACTTGAAAAGAGAATGGAGTTTCTCCAAGTATCCTGGCCCACAAACCCTTAGCCCTGCCTGACTGCTTCTCACCCAGCTCCAACACACACCCACACACAACCAGTAGGGGGTGCTACAGAGCGATCAGGAGCAGGATTCCTGTCTGATTTACCCCTCCCCTTAACCTGGGAAGGCTGGGGGCTGATTTAGCCCTGGTTGACACCAACAAACTCAGCACGGAATGGGATTCGATCCATGGAGATTCTGGTCCAGTAATCTGCAACTGTATACACTACCATCAGGACCGCCCCTTGGAAGGATCTTCAAAGCCTCTCTGAATGGGCATGATTGGGCCTGGGTTTAGCATCTCATCTGAAGGTTGTTTCTCAGACGAGGAGGGGCTGTCCTCAACACTTTGCTGTGATCTCACTGGTGATAAACAGCACATCATGTGCCGCATTTTTCATACAAAGAAAACTCTTTAGAATACAGAAACCAGTGACAGACTACCAATTGCCATATTATTCATATTTTCTTCAATTTCAGGTTGGTTCAGAGGCTATTCCCTGAGAAACAAATCAGTCAAGGTAAGTCTGTTTTCTTTGTATGTTTGGCTCAGTTGGGGGCAGTCCTAGTTCTTTTGTTACAAGCCATAATGGCCCTGATATACTTCACAAAGTGCTTAGTAAATGAACAAATTGGGAGGTTAGGATATGGAATGCCCTGCCTGGAGCAGTGGTTGAGGCAGAATCCATATTGGTTTTTGAAAGGGGATGAGATCAATGCCTAAAAAAAGTCTGGGGACTATGGGAAAGGGTCGGTGAATGGGACTGAAAGGATTGCTCTTTAAAAGAGCTGGCATGGACACGATGGATCAAATGGCCTTCTTCTGTGCTGTAAATTACTATGGTTCACTTTGAAACATTGCAATGCGTTGCATTGTCAGAGGCGCCGTGCTTCGGTTGAGATGTTAAATCAAGGTCCTGTCTGTGCCTGTTCAGGTGGATGTTAAAGGGACGTTAATCAAAAAAGAGAAGGTAGTTTCTCTCTCCCGGTGTCCTGGCCGACAATCCCTCTGAGAAAATCGTTCATTCAAGGCTGATTGCGGGACATTGCTACTCAAATTTGGCTGCCGCGTTCACCAACAAAATAATAATAATAATAATAATAATCCTTGCATTTTATATAGCGCTTTTCACGTCGGGAGGACGTCCCAAAGCGCTTCACAGAACACACTGTAAAGTGAATTGACTGTATATTTGTGGGCGAACGCGGCAGCCAATTGCGCACAGCAATGTCCCACATATACAGCCACCACACGCCACAGTATATCCTTTCTTCCAATGTCAAGAGGTCTATATTGAATGCAAAGATTAGTATTATTCTGGTGCACTGAAGTGTCAATACTAAATGTTTTGTTGACCACTAAAGATTTAGTATTTACTGGGGGACTGGCAGGGGGAAGGGGGGAGGGTTCACCCAAACGCAGGTTGCGTGAACAAGCATTCTTTAGTCTCTTCCTTAGCAGGAAGTGGTTATGATTGTGCAAGTGAAAGGCAGTCGAACCGGCAACTGATAACTATGAATATGGTTCCTCCTTGGCCACGGAGGCGAATGAGTCTGCAAAAGAGCATCAACCGTAAATCCATCGAAACTCAGCTCACTGTTTCATTTCCTGTGATTGATGGCATGACCGAGCTTCCACGGGCAATGGCATTCAAGGATGTGAGCTTTGAGGCTCGGTCCGATGGCCTGAATATGATTGGTCTCTCCTTATTCATGCAGAGATTCATATGGCTCAGTTGATGGTGCTCTCACCTATGATTCAGAAGGCTGTGGGTTCAAGCCACACATCAGGCCTTTGAACTGACAATCTAGCCTGTCACTCCAAAGTAGTGCTGGGGCAGAGGGGGCACATAGTCAGAGATACTATCTTTGGATGAAATGCTATACCAAAGTCACTGTCTGTCTGTTCAAGTGGACGTGAAAGGTTCTGTGGTGGTATTTGAGAGAGGGTTTCCTAGCCAACAATCCCCCAAATAAAACCGGTTGTTCGCATCATGGCTTTTTGTGGCGACGTCGCTGTGCACAAACTGCCTGTTGAATTTGTTTAGAAAATACAGTCACTACACTTCACTCTATGAAGTGCTTTAGAGCGAGATAAGGTGGTGTGTCAATCAAATTTGAGGGTGTCTGACCCGGAGGGGAGAGTAAACACTAGTTGAGCCAAGCCATCGTGTTAACCAGCTCAGAGACAAACACACAGGCAAGGATCAATAAAATCACATGGACATGTGGGTTCTGGAGTCCGTTTAGCACCAGCTCAGCAAATGTGTGTTAGTTAATGCTTGTCAGTCTTTTCCTTCAGGTAATTAACCTTACACAAGGAGAATAATTGTATCTTCTCTCTCTCTCGTTCGTTCTGCAGGGCATATTTCCGGCATCAGTCATCCATGTCAAACATGCAGCTGTTGAGATCAGAGGGTAAGTGCTCATGGGCAGTCACCATGCGTTGAGTCATGTCCTTATAGGATGTGCTGCACTTGAGAGATACTCAGGTCAGTTGCTGCAACAGTTGCTGCAATAGTCTATGTATGTGCACTAGTGTCCCATTATCAAATGCGCTGTCCTTTGGATGAGACATTAAACCGAGATCCAGTCTGTGTCTGTTCAGGTGGATGTTAAAGATCCCGCGATCCCGTGCCTTGGGATGTCTCGATGACATGATAAGGCGCTCTATCAAACGCAAGGATTATTATTATTGCAGGCAGGGTGGCAAGTCTCCAGGCTGAGTCTTCCCAAGGAGAAGTTGCTAACCTCCCCCAATTCCCTGCCTTCAAAGAGGATAGTTATCAGACCAATTGGTCATTAGCAAAGATGGGAGGGGAGAGGAGATTTACCAAAATTATACCAGAGATGATGGTTTAGTTTATGAACGGAATTGGAAGGTGCTCCATTGGAACAAAGAAGGTGGAGGGTAACCAGACAGGTCTTTAAATGATGAAAGGGTTTGATAGAGTCAATTGAGCGAAATTATTTCCACTGGTCGGTGAGTCATGACAAGAGGGCATCAATGTAAGATAGTTATCAAACAAGCACATGTGAAGGTTAGGAGAATGTTTGTCACGTACAGAGTGGTTAGGATATGGAATTCTGTTCTGGGAACGATGGTTGAGGCAGAATTTATATTCGTTTTCAATGGGGAATTAGATATCTAAAAAGAAGACAACTACAGGGTTAATGAGAAAGGGCAGTGAAATGGGACTGAAAGAATTGCTTTATGAAAGAGGCGGCACAGACACCATGGACCGAATGGGTTTCTTCTGTGCTGTGAATTTCTGTGGTTCTATGATTCTTATCCCAGCATTGAGCTCTCGTTATCAGGAACCAGGAATTCCTCATGAGTTGATTTCTGAGTAACACAAACCAGTGAAAGGGTATTTGTTGTCATGAGGTGCAGTCTGTGGAAATGAAATCACTCTGAGAGTTTTCAGCATGTTTGTAACTTTGTATGGCTATCAGACAAATAGTTAATCTAAAAATGTTTTTTAAAAAATTTGCCTGTAAGGTCACACTGCAATCATGTCACCAATGAAACTTGGAACAGTCAAGGAGTGAGCACCAACACAGACAGAATAGGGAAATAGCAGAGAATGGGATTAGAGTAGAGAGCTCCAGTGGGGGAGTGAGCACCAATACAGACACGATGGGGAAAGAGCAGGGAATCGGATCACAAGAGATATTTGGATGAAGAAGGCCCTTCAGCCTGTTTAATCTCATCCTGAGAGAATACTCATTCAATGGTTCTGCATCACAGAATCAAGCTGTTTCTTAAATGAATCTCAGCGTCCGGGCCCCAGCCACCCTTCCTGGTAACTCATATTCCAGTCTTTAATTACCTTCTTGGTGTCTGTACTGAAATGGCCTTTTGTTACCCTGATACTGTAGTCCCTCATCCTGCTGCTTTGGCGTATCTGAAACTATCATTCTGGGTTTACGTTCTCAATCATGTGTAAAACCTTATCCACTGGTTCTCTCTGAGATAAGAGTAAAGATCTCCCTCAAACTATCCACTGGGAACATCCTGGGTTGGATTACATTGACACTGGTTTTCATTCTTTCCAAAGGAACCAGGAGACCATTGTCTCTTTGGAGATGCCTCTGGTCCAGGAGATTACAACCACCTTGCGGGAATGGTTCAACATCTGGAAACAGCTGTACGCGGTAAGCAAGTGAACCACGGGCTGGGAATTCCACCTGGCCTTTGCCTGAGATACCACTGCCAAGTTTTGGCAAAAATCTCCAATTGAAAATGAATTTAGAAGCCAGTTTCTCTGTAAAAAGTGTGGGGGGAAACAGCCTCTGATTTATGGCTGGATTCACATACCATCCTCAGTTCTTTCCCCATCCATCATTCATTTTCATTGACTGGTTGTGGGATGTCACTGTGTGCAAATTGGCTGCCGCATGCATAGTCACTACACTTTTACTGTCATTTCCTGTGAAGCACTTTGAGACGTCCTCTCAACATGAAATTATAATGTCAATTATCAGACTTATTTTTCTGTTATTATTGTAAGACAATGCTGTCTTGCAGGCTAAGACTAGGTGGAATTTGTTGTTACAAGTCAATAGGGGTTTAAATTGGCCCCTTTTTCTGCAATAAAATGATGATGTTGAAGTGAAAATGTTCCCTCAACATCCTTACTCCATCTTATTACATGCCAGTGTCAGCCTGGCTCAGGCAGCAGTCTCTGGGCCAGAAAATTGTGGGTTGAAGACCCACATTCGGAGACTCTGAGCTCACAGTCTAAGATTGACGCTTCAGTGCAGTGCCTGGCGGAGCGCTGCATTGTCAGTGGCCCCTTCTGAACCTCTTCAAGTAGACGTTAAAGATCCCACCGGCTATTCGAAAAGAGAAGGGAGTTTCTATTTTCCAGTGTTATGGCCAACAACCACCCCAAATAAAATTTGTTTCTTTTTGTCTGTTTGTGGGACGTTCCTGTGAGCAAATTGGCTGCCACGTTTGCCTATACAAAATACACAGTCACTATACTTGTGAAGTTACTTTGAGAAGTTTTCACAACAAGATAAGACACTATCAAAGTCCTGTGAGGGGGCAGGGGTGATAGGCTCCCAGAACCGTTAAGCCTGCCCCCTTCCCCATCCAATTGCGAACATGTATTGGTGCGCTCACGCCCATAGGGGACCCCAGACCAGATAATAACATCTCGTAAACCAACTCTGTTTCAAGTGTTCCACGAGGAATGAAATAAGCAGAGCAATGGCACTGCCTCGCACAGCCATCCACACTGATTATTCCTCACTCCCACGAACACCTCACTCTGCCCGTGTTCCCAGGGAATCAGAGGATCTAACCAGCTCGAGGGGAAAGAGAGAGGGGTGGGGGGGGGGGCAGAGAGACGGGGGTGGGTGCAGAGAGAGAAGGGGATCAGAAAAAGAGGGGAAGAGTGGGGGGCAGAAAGGGGATCAGAGAGAAAGGGGCAGAGAGGTGGGGGGGACGGAGAGAGACACATACAAAGAAAGAAAGAAAGAAAGAAAGAAAGAAAGAAAGAAAGAAAGAAAGAAAGAAAGAAAGAAAGAAAGAAAGAAAGAAAGAAAGAAAGAAAGAAAGAAAGAAAGAAAGAAAGAAAGAAAGAAAGAAAGAAAGAAAGAAAGAAAGAAAGAAAGAAAGAAAGAAAGAAAGAAAGAAAGAAAGAAAGAAAGAAAGAAGTGTGAGAGAGGGCAGAGGGAGAAAATGAGAGAGAGACAGAGAAGGATAGAGAGAGAAAGAGAGAGGGACATGTACACACGCTTAGCTAAGCATTTTGAGATATCCTCCTGATGCGAAAAGCGCTGTGTAAATGTAAACTGTGGCCGGGCAGCCTGAGCTAGGGGGGCAGACGAGGAGCTAAAGCTGTTGTCCTCCTGTCGTGTTTTGTTGGGTTATTACAAGGTGGACACACTTTGGTGCATTAAATCCTGCACCAGGCTCCCCGAGCAACCCCCTACTTCCCCCTCATCCTCTCTCAGCTCCCAATGCCTTGAGAGTTCAATCCTCTCCCTCGCGCTCAAACCCCTCCACAGTCTCCCCCTCCCTATCTCTGTGACCTCCAGTGACCTGGCTGCTCATGTCCCCCTGTCTGGCCCTCCCCACCGTCAGTGGGCGGACTTTCAGCCAATCTGCCTTGCTCTCTGGAACTCCATCCTGGAGTCCCTCATGTCGTGAGGATGTCTCAAAGTACTGAGCAAAGCAAAGCTAGGTGCCTTGAGACGTTCTTCCAACGTGAAAGGTGCTGTGTTAATGTAAAGTGGATTGACCCTCCCCCACCCCAATGATAATTGTAAGTAACCAGCTCGGGGCTCCCGCCAGGTGGCGCTGTGCATCGGTTTCTGGGGAACCCGAGCTGGATGTAACCAGCCGTAAGGGAAAGAGAGATAGAGAGAAAAAGATAGACAGAGAAAGAGAGCGGCACAGTCCAGGCTGACACTCCCATGTGTTGCTGGGAGGACCACTGCATTGTCAGGGGTACCATTCTATAGATGAGACTGCAAATCAAGATCCCGTCTGCGCCTGTACAGGTGGAACTTCAAAGATCCCAGGACACTATTTGAAAACAGAGAAAGGAGTTTTGTCGCTACCTGTGTCCCGGTCAACAATCCCACGGTGTTTCGGGACATTGCTATGTGGATATTGGCTGCTGAGTTTGCCTAAAAAAAAATCACACAGACACTGGACTTTAGGACTTGAACTCACATAGTCTAAGTTGACACCCCAATGCAGTCCTGGGGTGTGTTGTATTGTTGGAGGTGCCGTCCTTCGAATGAGACGTTAAACTGTGGTACTGTTCTGCCTGTTCAGGTGGATGTTAAAGATCCCATGGCACTGTTTGAAAAGAGAAGCGGGTTTCTCCTTGCTTTGAGACATCTCAACGATGTGATACGGCACTATATCAAATGCAAGGATTATTATTATTCAGTGCATTGAGACATCCCCTGATGTGAAAGACGCTGTTTCAAATGCAAACAATGTGTGAGCCGGAGGCACAACAATGCTGACTAGGTGGGGGACTGTATCGGTCGGACGTCTGCTGACATTTTCAATACAATTAACAAGCTGAGTGATAAGACTGAGGCTGTTACTTATTTATAAACAGGGAAAACATCCTTAGGGTTTAATTAAAATGAAACTAAACTTCCATTTGCACTGCGAATTTAATAAATAACAATAATCATTCCACATGATTTAGCACCTGTAGCAGTTCAACGCACTTAAGAAACTTACTGCAAAGTGGAGTGATTGCATTTTTACATGAATGCAACAGCCAATTTTTATGCACAGCAACATCCCATAAACAGCCATGTTCAGGTGGACATTAAAGATCCCACAACGCACTTTTTGAAAAGAGAAGGGAGTTTCTCTCTCCCGGAGTCCTAGCCGACAATCCCTCAGATAAAATCGGCCACTCATTTCATGGCTGTTTGTGGGATGTTGCAATGCACAAATTGGTTTCCGTGTTCGCCTGCAAAGTGCAGTCACTGCTCACGTTACAGTGCCTTCACTTCACAGTAAAACTCTGAAGCAGTTTGAGATATCCTTCTGAATGATATCAAATGCAAGGATTGTTATATAACAAGGAACTTTTTTCAATGTGTAACGTAATAATTTTACATTTGGTATAATGCCTTTCAGTTTGGGAAAACGTCTCAAAGGGCTTTACAAAATTAACTATTAATTGCAGTGACTGTTTATTTTGTGGGCAAAAGCGACAGCTCATTTGCACACAGCAGCGTCCTGCAAACAGTCATGGAGTGAGTGACCAATTTTATTTGGGGGATTGCTGGCCAGGATCCCGGGAGAGAGAAACTTCCTTCTCTTTTCGAATCGTGCCATGGGATCTTTAACATCCACCAGAACAGGCACGTTCAGGTGACCTTGGTTTAACGTCTCGTCCAAAGGATGACACCTCCAACAATACAACACTCCCCAGCTCTGCACGGTGTCAGCTTGGACTATGTGATTCCAAGCCCTGACGTGGGACTTCAACCCACGACTTTCTGACTCAGAAGCGAGAGAGTTGTCAACTGAGCCAGGCTGATATAATTTATAATAGCAAAGCAAGCTTGCAGTAATTATTCGCAAATGTAGCAATTCATTTCTGTAGGCAAACAAAACAGTCATTTTATGCTCAGCAAAGTCCCACAAACAGCTGTAAGGTGAACGATTAAATAAATTCCAAATAAGTTTGCGGGGATCTTTAACACTTGAACAGGCACAGCTGGGGATCAGGTTAATGTCTCACTCGAAGCATTAACAATGGCACCTCTGACAATGCAGCACTCCTAACTCCCTGTGCTCCACTGGGACATCAGCCTGGCATGCGAGCTCAAATCCCAACCTAACTGGGGCTTGAGCCCGCGATCGGCTGACCCAGAGGCGTTTGAGGGTCACCGTAATGTGAGCCAGGCTGACACCTGCACCCAGGACTAAAACACATTTGAATTGAGGCTCAATATTATTGAGCCGAGCTCTTTGTGGCTGAATGAGGGGTTTGATTATTGTCACCCGAAGACTGACTCCTTTCACTGTGCGACTCCCCCTCCCCCTTGCCTGGCCTGAAATTTCTGAACAGATTGACTTCAAGATTGACTCACTCGTTTTCAAATCTGTTCATGCCCTCGCACCTCCCTACGTTTCCAACTTGCTTACCCCCATCCCACCACCCGCTGCCTCTGCTCGGCTGGCTCCTGCCTCCTGTTTGTCCCTCGCCCCCTCTGCTCCACCATCGCTAGTCATACTTTCAGCTACTACACCCCGAAGCTCTGGGATTCTCTTCCCTAATCTCTCCGCCTTGCTCCCTCCCCTCCACTTTCAAATCCCGCCTTAAGACCTTCCTTTTTGATCATGCTTCCAGTCACCACCCCCCACTCCTCCCCCTGGTTCTGGGTCAGACTCCGCCATTCTACCCTCACTCTCTGGAACTCCATCCCGCAGTCCTTCCACCTCATCCCCTCGCTTGCTTCCTTCAACGCAGCAACGTCCTGCAAACAGCCATGGAGTGAGTGACCAATTTTATTTGGGAGATTGTTGGTCAGGCACTGGGAGAGAGAAATTCCCTTCTCTTTTTGAATAGTATCAGGGGTCCGTTAATACATCACACCCCCAGCACTGCATTGTAGGTCTACTTAGACTCTGTGATTCCAAGTCCTGACGTGAGGCTTGAACCCACAACCTTCTGATTCAGAGGTGAGAGCATTACCACTGAGCCAGGCTGAATGTGAATTCAGGCTGAATGTGAATTTTGTGCCTTTGCAAACCCTGCAGGTGTTATTTGTCTGAACAAATAACACTGAAATACTTGTGTTTGCGTCATTCTGAGGTGTTCTGTCTCAGGTCAATGCATGTTCAACTCTTCCTGTAGAATTAATTTGCCAGCAGATTTCCAGAGATGTATATTTAGGTGTCAGCCTGGCTCAGTCAGTTGTACTCTCAACAACAACTTGCATTTATAGCATGCCCTTCATGCAGGGTAGAGTCTCGGAGCTCTTACGTCTAGGTCAGACTGTTGTGGGGACTTTGAGCTCACAGTGTACGCTGACATTCCAAAGCAGTATGGGGGAGGTGGGAGGGGTGAGGGAGGTGAGCGCTGCATTGCCAGAGGTGCTATTGTTTGGATGAGTAGCTAAATCGAGGCTCCCTGTCTGTGCCGGTGTAGATGGATGTTAAAGACAGGTTGCACGGCATTAACATCTTCAGTAATACATCGCTCACACCCCAGCTCTGTATCAGAGCATCAACCTAGACTGTGAGTCAAAGCCCACGAGGCAGGGGCTTGGTGTGAAATGATACTTAATGCCTGCGTGCGTGTGTTGGGGGACAGTTGATTTGAAGCAAAAAAGAACGTGTCAGGTAGAAGCCTGGGCATAGCTGTGCTGAGAGGTTTTCTCATCTCCCCCTCTCTCGTCTGTCAGCACCACATTCCATCAGCAAGTTAGAGGGCGCTCACTGTCACAAGCCATCACTGTGTTCCCAGCCAGCGCACATTACCTGTTGACTTCACTGCTCTCCAGCCCTGACTGATTCACTCTGACACCTTCACTCTGAGCTCAACTCAGGGAACAGAGAAAAGGAACAGAGTGTTTGTTATGTACATGTGAGGCTCTCAGCCTGGCTCAGTCAGCAGCACTCTCACCTTTGAGTCAGAAGGTTGTGGGTTCGAGCCTCCCAAGTCGAGGTTTTGAGCTCGCAGTCCAGGCTGATGCTCCCCGGGGAGCATAGTCGGAAGCACCATCCTTTGGTGTAGCAGCATAGCCTTGCAATGTTGGACCTGATTTAACTGAGGTATCGAAAATAATGTGAAGGATAGACAGAGGACGACACTTTAGTGAAGGGATCCGTTATAAGGGGGTAGAGGGTTGCAAGTTTCCACTGGGAAGCTCTCTGAGACATTATCCTACATGTAAAAAAAATGCAAGTTGTTCCCGTTGTAAATAGAGTTAGAGTTGAGGTCGGGAAGCGCTTCCTTGTGATGATGTGAAACGCTCTGCCCCACAAAGATGTGGAGACCGAAACAATAAGGATGTTTAGAGAGATGAACTTGGGTAACAAAGGTATAAAGGTAATGCGAAAGTGTGGGCATTGTGATTAGGAAATCTGCCAAGATTATGCACTTAATACTCTCCGGAAATAGGTAAGCAGGGGGTGACTCTCTCGGGAGAGAGAGTGTGCAATCCAGGGAAATTTCCATGTGTAGGTGGCACACATGGAGCTCGCACTCTGGTTTGGAAACTCTCGGGCCCGGCGATGAGCTTCTGCATGTGGCAGACCCGGCTGACCCCTTCCCCCTACACACAAGGTCAGAGGAGTTTGCAGGGAATGGTGGGAAAGCCATAGAGAAAAACTGAAACGGAGCCAATGTTCTGATGTATCTGCGAGGAGTCTCACAGCTAACAAACTGCAGGCTCTCAGCAAGCCTGGAAGGAGCTCTGCGCCCTAATTAAAACAACTGAAACACAGTGATTTATTGGGTCTCTCGTCACCAGCAGATGTACAGTTTTACAAGCAAAAACCTCACTTAACTTTGACCATGCTGAAATTCTGCTCAACTCCTTCAACTCAGAAATTAATGTTGCACTGAGCTTGAGCGGTGAAATCTGCACCTTCGAGGCTTGTTAGTGAGCCAGCCATTAATATTAATAACAATATAATAACATTAATAACCTTCACGACTCTCACGTCTGAGGACGTTTCAAAGTGCTTCACAGGATTGACTGTGAAGTGTGATAGTGTATTTTGTGGGCAAACAGAAATAGGGGTGGAATATGTGTTCTGTGTTTACCTAAGAAACTCTTAACAAAACAAAACCGGTTGAAAAATAGTAATTAAGCTATTTTCACCAATTAAGCCNTTTTTTCCTGTCTCAATACCCACTCTAATCAGTATTGCACTGGTGAGCAGCTGTAATCTCTCAGTTACTCCATGTCAAAATTCGGAGCTCTCTAAAATGTTACATAAATAGAGTAAATTTAGACCCAGGTGGAGTTTCTTCCTGTTCGTTCTGATTTTAAGGCAATTTTCCATTGTAATGGATCTCTCTACCTTTAAAAACTACAGTCACTACACTTGACTGCTGTAACATGACTTCAAATGCGCTATGAGATGTTTCGATGTGGTAATGCTTTCTTTCAAAAACTGCAACTCCTCCGTTGGCATTTAAAGTGCTTCATAAATAAATAATCCCATCTTGTCATATCAACACACTTCACAGGTAATCACTGTCGAGTGCACTTGTAGGCCAATGTGTCAGTTAAACCACACGCAGCAATGTCCCACAAACAACCGTGAAATGAAGACCAATATATATCTATCTGGCGGATTGTTTGCCAAGACACCGGGAGAAATTCTCGTCTCTTTTGCAATAAGGCCACAGGGTCTTTTAAGTCCAACTGAACAGGCACAGACGGGATCTCAGTTTAATGTCTCATCCATCTCATAAGGTCTCAAAGAAGGCACCTCTGTCAAGGCAGCACTCAATCTACACGATTGTGTGTCAGTCTAGCTCAGTGGTAGTTCTCTCGCCTCTAAGTCAGAAGGTTGTGGGTTCAAGCCCCACGTTGGGGGACTTGGATTCACATAGTCTAAACTGACACTCCAACTACAGTGTTGGGGGGTGTTGAATTGTCGGAGGTGCTGTCCTACAAATGAGACTTTAAAACCAAGGTCCCAACTGCCTGTTCAGGGGGATGTTAAAGATCCCATGACACTATTTGCAAAGAGAGGGGAGTTTATTATGGTGTTATTATTATCCTGGCCAACAATCCCCCAAATAAAATTGGTCACTCACTCCATGGCTGCTGTGTTTTGCCCACAAAATACACAGTCACTGTACTTTGCAACATATCCTGTCGAGCTTTGAGACACCTCAACAATGTGATAAGACTCAATATTAAATGCAAGGATTATTATTGATTAATGCTGACATCAGCCTAGGTTATTAGCAACAAATGTGGGTGAACTGACAACATTATGACTGAGGTAAGAGCGCTACCAAAGGAACCAGGCTGGCAGGGTAACTAACACTCACCGCTGGCTTGATTTGTTTCAGAGTGGACAGACTGAGAAGTTTCGGCAGGTGACCTCGATGATGTATGACCTGATGGAGAGAAGATCTCAGCTGCTGTCGGGAACCCTGCCACACGATGAGCTCAAAGATCTTAAGCAGGAGGTCACCATGAAGATAGACTTTGGCAACAAGTGTGTAGTCTCGATACATCAGATCAAACAATATTAATTATCTCCAGACCTACCTTTTTAATTGTGCCTTCGGTCATCTTTCTCCTTCCCACCGCAAATCAGCTCTCACCCCCAGTCCAGGTGTTAAGCCAGGACTGCCAAACCCCTGGGACTGATGCGAAAGGCGCTGTGTAAATGTAAATTAGTATTGTATTCTATTCAGCATTTTTCACATCAGGAGACTGTCCTGTAATGCTTCACAGGATTTTACTGTGAGCGGTGATGACTACCCACCCAACCTCTGGAATTCTCTGCTTCTACCCTTCCGCTGCACCGCCTCTTTATCTCGAGATCTATTTCTTGCGCCTTTGGTCACCTTCTGTTCCCCTCTTCCTCCCTTGCTCAGTGTAGTGCAGTGCTCTAAGTCGCTATCCTGATGGATGTGGATGGTGATGGTTGTGTATGAAGATGTGATAGCTCCCCCCAGTACTGCCTGATCCTGGGTGCTGCAAGCGTGCCCTGTATTGGTTCTCCCAGTCTGAGCAGATGTTGCTCTGTGTTGTAGGATGCTGGAGCTTTGCCTTGTGGTGAGAGATGAGAACGGAAACATTCTGGACCCGGACAAGACCAGCGTCATCAGCCTATTTGAAGCTCACAGAAAAGCCACACACGACATCACTGAACTCATACGGGAAGAGACGGTGAGAGGGTTTTATTGTCAGCCGGGTGTCTGACACACATGGAAACCCATCACTGTGATCAGCCGGGTGTCTGACACACATGGAAACCCATCACTGTGATCAGCCGGGTGTCTGACACACCCAGAAACCCATCACTGTGATCAGCCGGGTGTCTGACACACCCAGAAACCCATCACTGTGATCAGCCGGGTGTCTGACACACCCAGAAACCCATCACTGTGATCAAGTTAGATGTCTCCCTATTAGGTTTTAGGCTTGCTGGGCAACAGGAGCTGAGTGGGATGAATCCCTGCACCCAGTGACTGGTCTGCCCCTCCATCTCCTACCAGATGGTAAGAGCCGTGTCCAGGGCAAAATCCCTGATAACTGATCCACCAGGTGCCCCTTTAAGAGATCTTAAGGATAGACTGGATAGGTTGGGCCTGTTTTTGCAAGAGAAGAGCTATTTAAAGGGGAACCTAATAGAAGTTATAAAAGGTTTCAATAATGTTAATGTAAATAGGCTGTTTCCACTGGTTGGGGAGTCTGTAACCATGGGATACAAATGTAAGTTAGCGACTAGCGCTATCTAATAGAGAATTTAGGAAGAGCTTTGTCACACAGAGGCTAGTGAGATTGTGGAACTTGCTGACTGAAGCGGTAGTTGAATTAGAGAGTGTGGATACATTCATGAGGAAGCTAGAATTTCACATGAAGGAGAGGAGAACAGGAGGGAATGGGTGGGAGTAGGAATGGGTGAAGACGCGTGTGGAGTGTAAACACCGGCATGGACTGGTTAGGCCCAGTGGTTCTCCTGTTTTCGTACTGTACAGTCTTTGTTGCCAATTAAGAAGCCATTCCTGCTCCATTCAATGGAGCTCACTTGCGGGTCTCTTCAGTTTCAGAATCAGAGTGAATACAGTAGGCTTTCCCGCCTGGCCTCCGCTCCCACCCACAGCCTCTTCATCTGGGTCCGTAACTTTGTGTGTAAGATCGGCGAGGAGGCCGAGCTCTTCATGGCCCTGTACGACCAACATGAGCAGAAGATCATCAGGTGAGGCACCACAAGCACCAACCTGGCCACTGTCTCTGGGGTCCCACTGCCCGGGAACCAGGGTTCTGACTGGCTACGCTGACCACATTTACAGTGGGGAGATACTCTGGAGCTTCGTTAGAAGCGATCCCCTGTCCTTTAACATCTGTCTGGTTCCCCTTTAAGAGATCTACCGGGGGCCCAAGGAAGAGATCCACCAGATGCTTCTTTAAGAGATCCTCTGGATGCCCCTTTAAGAGATTCACCAGGTTAATATTTAAGAGATCAACCCTGTGCCCCTTTAACAGATCTATCTGTTTTTTAACAGATCACCAGATGCCTATTTAGGAGATTCGCCTGGTTGTCCCTTTAAGCGGCCTGACCTGACTACACCTTCAAGTGTTTGGGATTTATAAAGCCCCCCCCCCCACTTGTAACAAGGCATGGTCATGTAGAGTAATAGCCCTGGTAGCAGCCTTGTGAACCTAGACTGTACTCTTTCCATCGCGGCTCTAGTGTCCTTTGACCGTGCGTTCAGTCATCTTTCCACAGTTGCTTATACTGAGCACGAGTGTGGGGACTGGACACACTGTCTGCGGCGACTAACCTCCCCCACTGGAAGAGGTTTTCATTGATCACGTGGTGGGGGGAGATGATGAGTTTATAGACACCCCCCCCACCCCCCACAAAAATAAACACACTGATTGGGGTGGGGGAAATCAGCCTGTTGTTATGTTGTGACTGAATGTAATTCTCTATTTTTCGTAATCTCAGTGAGAACTACCTATTTCGTTGGGCGAGTACAGGACTGCCCAAGGAGATTGATATGTTGCACAACCTCAAGGTAGTCTTCACAGTAAGTACTCCCCAATGATGACAACAACTTATCACTATCAACCTCCTGCTCGAACCTCAAAGTTTAGACGTACTAAGAGGCCCGTCCCAAGACTCTGCTTCAACTGCGCCTTTGGTCACCCTCCTACCCCAACCCTCCCTGCCATCCACCCTTGCTGATCCCAACCCCTAGCTCGGGTCCAATTCCCGGACTAACCATTGCCTTCCCGATGTGAAAGGCGCTATACAAATGTAATTTGTTGTTGTTGAAAAGTAACACCTATTCATATGTAAAGTGGCAGTGTTATTGGTATGCTGATCATCACTGAAAAACACTTAGAAACTACCTCTGTGGAGTGATTTATAATAATAATAAATGAGAATCCTTGCGTTTGGTATAGCGCCTTATCAAGTCGGAAGGACATCTCAAAGCACTTCACGGGATTTACTGAGAAAAGGAGCGACTACAATAATAATAATAATCCTTGTATATGATATAGCGTCTTATCACATCTTTGAGACATTTCAAAGCACTTCACAGAACATATTGTGAAGTGTACTGACTGTGTATTTTGTGGGCGAAACGCAGCAGCCAATTGCGCACAACAGTGTCCCACAAACAGTCGTGGATTGAGTGACCGAATTATTATTATTATTTTGAAGGGATTATTACCCCCGGAAAGGCTATCCGCCAATCGACTAACAAACGGGTTCCTACTTACTGCTAGGTAAACAGAGGTGTGTGGAGGAAGGAAACTTGCCTAAAGTTTCACCCTGCTCGGGAATCGAACCCGGGTCCTCTCGTTTGCTAGGCGAGTGCTCTAACCACTATGCTACAGGATAACACATGGAGTTGGGGGAGGGTGAAATGTGGAAGGGCAATTGCACACAGCAAAGTCCTACAAACAGCCATGAAACAAATTATCAATTTTATTTGGGGGATTGTTAGCCAGAACACCAGGAGAAACTCCCTTCGCTTTTTGAATAGTGCCACAGCATCTTTAACGTCCACCTGAACAGGCAGACAGGGCCTCAGATTAGCATCTCATTCAAAGAATGGCATCTCCAACAATGCATTACAAAATACACACAGTCACTACATTGTACAATAAATCCTGTGAAAGATGAGACATTTGAGATATTTTGATGATGTGATAAGGAGCTGTATCAAAACCAATGATTATAATTATTATTAATAATAATAATATTCAACTCAATATTTTAGGATTTAGGAAACAAGGACTTGAACCGGGAGAAGATATGTTTGGTGTGTCAGATTGTCCGTGTCGGACGGATGGACCTGAAAGAAGCCAACGTGAAGAAGTTGACTCAGGGACTGAGAAGACCTTTGGGGGTATCAGGTGGGCCACGAGCAACACATTCATCTCACCCTCAAAATGTCCCCTGTATCCCCTCCGCAACAAACCCTATGTTAGCTGAGCAGAGGCTTTTTTGGGGGCCAGTCAGGTGTCAACAGAGGGCTGGAATTGGAGAGATAGGGAGGGTGAGGAGCTTGAAATCGATCTGCTGGGAGCCAGGGTGCCAGTGGAGCCTGGTGTGGAGTTTGGTATAGAATTTGAGTGGGAGTTGGTGAGAGGGTGGGGGTCAGGCAAGGAACACGCCTGGGTCGGAGGAGTGTAAGAGGCTACGAATGGGAATAATTTTGTGGACGCTAGGCAGTAGAGAAACACAGTTTGGCAGCATCTAAATTAGTTCAGCACAATTTGGCTTTCCTGTGCAGCCAGTTTATTGACTCCAGTTCCTGGGGCTGGGCATGATGAGTGATTTAATCACCAAATTTCAGTTGAGATACTACACTAAGCATTTGCAAGTCTTTAATCTTTAAGCAAATTAAGGTGTTGGCAGCTTATTTACTTATTTATGGAGAGACGGTGTATCGGCCAATCAGTCCAGCCGTCACAGACAATAACATAGAGCTTTATAGCACAGAGACTAACCATCCAGTCCATGTAGTCTGTGCTGGTGTTAATACTCCACCTCTCTATCCCCCTCTCCTACACCGCTCCCTATTCCCTTCTCCTACATCTCTCTCTTCCCCCTCTCCTACACCCCTATATTCTCCCTCTCCTACACCCCTCTATTCCCCTCTCCTACACCCCTATATTCTCCCTCTCCTACACCCCTCTATTCTCCTCTCCTACACCCCTCTATTCCCCTTTCCTACACCCCTCTTTTCCCCTCTCCTACATCCCTCTATTCCCCTCTCCTACATCCCTCTATTCCCCTCTCCTACACCCCTCTATTCCCCTCTCCTATACCACTCTATTCCCTTCTTTTACATCTCTCTATTCCCCCTCTCCTACATCCCTTTATTCCTCATCTCCTACATCCCTTTATTACCCTCTCCTACACTCCTCTATTCCCCTCTCCTACACCACTCTATTCCTTTCTCCCTCACGTTCTTCCTCAGTATCCTCTTAAATAAGCTGATGCTTTCTGCTTGAACTGCAGCTCCCAGCAGTGAGTTCCACGTTCACACCACCCTCTGTGTGCTCCTCTTAAATTCCCTGTTAGATAGCTACTGGCTATCTTATATTTATGCCCACTCAACAACAACAACTTGCATTTATATAATGCCCTTCACACAGGCAGCATCCCGGAGTGCTTCACTGGTGAAGTACTTTGAGATGTTCTCCTAAGTTGCAAGGTGCTACATCAAATTTAAGGATTATTATGTCAGGATTCTCCATTATAGCAAAGGGAAATTTCCCAATGTAGCAGAGGGCATTCCCCCACAGCAGTGAAAGGGTGATTTAACCCTATTACATTAGACAGTATAGAGGAATGGCCCATTACAGTGCAAAGGAATCACCATTACAGTGGAGTCCTGTAGCTCAGTGGTTAGAGCACTCGCTTTGCAAGTGAGAGACCTGAGTTCAATTCCAGGCACAGGGCGAAACCTTGGGCAAGTTTCCTTACTCCACACAGAGCCTAATAATAATCCCTCCAAAACCAAAAACAATAATAAATTGGTCATTTTCAATCTACGACTGTTTGTGGGACATTGCTGTGCGCAATTGGCTGCCGCGTTCGCCCACAAATATACAGTCAATTCACTTCACAGTGTGTTCTGTGAGGCGCTTTGGGACGTCCTCCTGACGTGAAAAGCGCGATATCAAATGCAAGGATTATTATTATTATTATTATATTACAGTACGGGGATTCTCCTATTACAAAGTAAAGAATTCCCCCATTTCAATGTTAGGATTCCTCCACAATAAATAATATAATAATAATAATCCTTGCATTTGATTTAGCGCCTTATCACATCTTTGAGACGTTTCAGAGCGCTTCACAGAATATACTGAAAAGTGAATTGACTGTAGATTTTGTGGGCGAAACGCGGCAGCCAATTGTCCCATAAACAGTCGTGGATTGAGTGACCAAATTATTATTTTTTTTGAAGCGGTTATCCCTGGAAAAGTGATCCGACAATTGACTAACAACCTGGTTCCTACTTACTGCTAGGTAAACAGAGGAGTGTGGATTAAGGAAACTTGCCCAACATTTCGCCTTGCCGGGAATCAAACCTAGGTCTCTCGCTTGCGAGGCGAGTGCTCTAACCACTGAGCTACAGGACTCCAATTACAATGTAATGTATTCCCCCTCTACAACGTAAAGGATTTCCCAACAGTTAAAGAGACATCCTCATTGCCAGACGTTCATTGATTCTTGAACATTTCTATTCTCCTTTCATCTTAAAGTATTGATCTGGGTTTACTTTTTCAATCCAATTTAAGGTTTTATACATCTCTATGAGGTTTCACCCTTATCAAGCTTGATCTTTCAATTTTCACAAACTAACAGCTCATCCAAACTTGCCTTTCATTTCCAAAGTTGCAAACCAACTTCATTAAACTCCCTACTCCAGCCCCTTCAGTCTCATTTCCACAGGAGTGAGATGGCGCTCGACAAAGTCACAACTGGCATCCTCTCTCTGTGTGACCAGGGCTCCATCTGTCTCCTTGTCCCCCTTTTTGTTTTAATCAGAGTGTCTGAAACATGTGAAAACCCATCACCATGCTTAAGAATATCCAAACCAAAACTGGTGAAATGGGCAGACACATGGCAGATGGAATTTAATGCAAGTGAATTTAAAGTGTGAATGAGGAGAGGCAACATAAGATAAATTATACAACTTTAAAGGGGGTGCAGGAACCTGGGGCTTCACATACACAAATCTTTAAAGGTGGCAGGACAAGTTGGCAAAGCTATTAAAAAAACATATCGGATCTTTGGCTTTATACATAGAGGTACAACGTATACAAGCAAGGAAGTTAGGTTGAACCTTTACAAATCGTTGTTTAGGCCTCAGCTGGAGTATTGTGTCCAAGTCTGGGCACCACACTTTAGGAAGGATGTCAGAGCCTTGGAGAGATAGGTTGTTGGAATGGGATGCGTATTCTCTCCCTGGAGGGACACATCTTGCTTACCTAATACTTACTGCTTTCCTTCACCTCTCCACATTGCCTCTGACCATACCTCACACCCAACACAGCCAAAACCCTTATACAATAGAAAATTACATTTGTATAGTGTCAGGAGAACATCCCAAGGTGCTTATTTACTCATTCTTCACCTCCCACCTCAATTATTCGAATGCCATCCTCGTTTGTCTCCCCAGCTCCAGCACTCATAAAATCCATTTGATTCAAACCTCCACCACCCATATCCTCCACTGTAACTAGCTCCACATAATAACAATAATAATCTTTGCATTTGATGTAGCACTTTTCGCATCTTCTAGACGTCTCAGAGCGCTTCACAGAATAGACTGTAAAGTGAATTGACTGTATATTTGTGGGCGAAATGCGGCAGCCAATTGCGCACAGCAGTATCCCACAAACAGTCATGGATTGAAATGACCAATTTATTATTGTTTTTTTGAGGGATTATTATCAGGATTGCCCAAGGTTTCACCCTGCCGGGAATAGAACCCAGGTCTCTCACTTGTGAGGCGAGTGCTCTAACCACTGAGCTACAGGACTCCCATCACCCCAGTCCTTGCCCGGCTCCACTGGCTCCCTATGGCAGAACAGATTGATTTTAAGATTCTCACACTCTTGTACAAATCATACACTCGCACTCCCTACTTCTCTGATCTGCTCATACCCCACTCTTCTACCTGTCACCTTTGCTCGGCTGACTCCGGCCTCCTGCACATAATAATAATAATAATCCTTGCATTTGATATAGTGCTTTTCACGTCGGGAGGACGTCCCAAAGCGCTTCACAGAACACACTGTAAAGTGAATTTACTGTATATTTGTGGGCGAACGCGGCAGCCAATTGCGCACAGCAATGTCCCACAAACAGCCGTAGATTGAAAATGACCAATTTATTATTGGTTTTGGTTTTGGAGGGATTATACATCCGTCGTACCCTCCGCTCCACCATCAATGGCCGTACTTTCAGCACTGAACCCCAAAACTCTAGACCCCTATGCTTCAATCGCTCCAGCTTGCTCCCTTATTGGCTGTTTTCAGATCTTATTGGAACCGTGCCCTCTTTCTCCAGCTTGGCATCAGGCTGTTAAGCACTGCCCCCACGTGAAGACTACTGTATGAATGGAAGTTGTCTCTTCTGAGTCACCTTATCTCAAGACTGAAGAGACCGAGTTTGTCTAATCGTTGCTCACAGCTCATTCCTCTAACACTGGGGATCAGCCTCGTTGCTCTCCTCTGCACTGTCTCTAGGGCCTGAGCAGCTCCTTATGTCACAGTGACCATAACTGCCTGCAGTGTTCAAGGTGGGGCCTGACCAGGGTCCTGTAAAGTGTGAAGTCCGGGGAAGCTTTTTCTCACACAGAATGCCTGATTCAGCACACTGGGCTCTACGTGGAGCTGAGCGAAGCACCTTGAATCAAATATATCCTTCTGTCTCACGCACCATCAAATCTTAAATTGCTGTCAGGCATACAGCTACACATCAGTGAGCCTCTTGGCTTAGAACATACCTTAGTCTGACATTGCATCACGCACTTCACACTGTTGTGTTCCCTTCATGCTAGATAGCAGCCCACCAGTCACACAGTGAGAGCGAGAGGGACAGAGGGAGAGAGATAGATTGGCAGGGAGAGACACAGAGACGCAGAGAGAGAGATGCAGAAAAAGATGCAGAGAAAGACTCAGAGTCAGAAACAGACACACACTGAGAAACATCAGACACCGGGAGAGAAAAACAAACAGAGAGAGACACAAGAAAGAGAGAAACAGAAAGCGAGACATAAGCAGAGACTGGATGGACATTGTCGTATCTTTCTTTAAGGAAAATAGGGGTAGAAATGATGCCCAAATTTAGACTTAATCTATTTATTTGGCATTTCAGACCATTTGGAATTGGTCAGTATCTTAACACCAGCCTTATTGTTTGCAGGCTGCTGACCTAAAAGTTATCTTAAAGAACTGCTCAACACCGGTTTAAGAGTTAGGACAAAACTCTAGAATTTGACGATGTTTAAAATGTTGAGAAAATGGATCAAACCTACACTCATGAGAAATATCTCTACTGTTGATTATATCTTCTGATACTCTAGGCTCCATCCTGGAGTCCCTCTGAATGACCCCTTTCCTCTCCTCCTTCAAAGTCAGCCTCAAGACCTTCCTCTTTAATCACACCTTCGGCCATCTTTCTCCCCTTTGACCCTCCTCCCTAAACATCGCTTTCATCCTGATGTGAATGGTGCTGAATATAAATTTTATGCTGTTGTTGTAAGTAATAACTTGCATTTGCTATGGCACCCATAGCATTGAAACACTTCAAATGCTTCAAGTGCAATGATTGTGTATTTTGTGCATGAAAGTGGCAGCTAACATCTCAAAAACAGCCGTGAAGTGACTGATTGATTTTATCTGGGGTATCGTTGGCCAGGACACTGAGAGATAGAGATTCCCTTCTCTTTTCCAATCAGGAGTCCTGTAGCTCAGTGGTTAGAACACTTGCCTCGCAAGCGAGAGACCTGGGTTCAGTTTCCGGCAGGGCAAAATCTTGGGCAAGTTTCCTTACTCCACACACCTGATAATAATCCCTCAAAAAAAAACATTAATAAATTGGTCACTTCAATCCACGACTGTTGGTGGGACACTGCTGTGCGCAATTGGCTGCCGCGTTTCGCCCACAAATATGCAGTCAAATTCACTTTACAGTACATTATGTGAAGCGCTTTGAGACGTCTAAAAGCTGTGAAAAGCGCTATATCAAATGCAAGGATGATTATTATTATTATAGCGCCCCAGGATCTTTAACGACCACTCGAACAGGCAGAGACGAGACCTTGGTGTAACAACATCTACTAGCATTTATATAGCGCCATTCACGCAGGGTGGCATCTCGGAGCGCTTGAAGGATGGCTCCTCCGACAAATGCAACACTTCCCCACCCAGCACTGCTGGATTGTCAGCCTAGACTGAGCTCAGGATCCCCAATGTGGGATCTTGAACCTACAACCTTCTGCCTTGGAGACAAGAGTTGTACCCAATGATAACTTGCATTTGCTTCTTTTAGCCATGGACATTACGGATATATTGAAGGGCAAAGCAGAAAGTGATGAAGACAAGCATCATTTCATTCCGTTTCAACAGTAAGTACCTCTTGCACCACAACATAACATGGACCTCCTTCACCCAAACCCTTAGCAGCGGGCACTTAAACACTGTAGTAAAATGGGCAGACAGATGGCAAATTAAGTACAGTATACTCTTGATAACTCGGTCCTGGCTTAACTTGTCAATCCCACTTTAGTCATGGTGCTGTCAATTCCCTGGCTGCAGTTACTTAGGTATTTATACATATGCTTTACTCACCGCTTCTGATAAGTCGTCACTGAGACCTTATCCCTCGGAGCAACAAGTCATCAGGAATTTACTGTAATTCACTTTGGCAGAAAAATCAAGAAGCCGTCTATAGTCTATATCAAAGAGATCTGGGGATTCGGATCATGCCGGCCCCACAGGGATTCCTCCCATCTGGGTCCTGCTAACCCTACAAGCCAAAGCCCCAGTGCAGGCCTACCTGGAGAGGCAGCGGGGAAACTCCCCAGTGTTCACAGTTCCACCTGCTTCAGCTCCAGTGAGATCCCAACACACAGGATTAGACAATGTGTTTGGGTGAAGGAGGCACTTTGGGTCTCTGATCTCATCCCTCCAGAACATCTGCCCGACTGTGCTCTCGTCACAGCTTCAAGCAACCCTCAGACAGCCAGTCCTGTTTGAGCCTGGCCTCAACTCAACTCAGCCAGCCTTCCTGGTGACCTGCTACAGTTATAATAATAATAATCCTTGCATTTGATATAGCGCTTTTCACGTCGGGAGGACGTCCCAAAGCGCTTCACAGAACACACTGTAAAGTGAATTTACTGTATTGTGTAGGCGAACGCGGCAGCCAATTGCGCACAGCAATGTCCCACAAACAGTCGTAGATTGAAAATGACCAATTTATTATTGTTTTGGGTTTTGGAGGGATTATTATTAGGCTCTGTGTGGAGTAAGGAAACTTGCCCAAGGTTTCGCCCTCTGCCTGGAATTGAACTCAGGTCTCTCGCTTGCAAAGCGAGTGCTCTAACCACTGAGCTACAGGACTCCACTATTGTTATTCAGAGGAGAGGAAGGGGTCATCCTCAAGCCTAGACGGAGTGGTGGGAGTGGGAAATAGTGAAGGCAGGTTTTGTGTGTGTGTGTGTGGGGGGAAGGGGTGGGATAGAGTGGAGGTGTTTAAAGGTCAGATATTGGGCGTTAATGTTGATCTGCTGGGGGAAGGTGATTCGGTTGATGGCGGGGGTGTTGGCAGAGGTAAGGGTGGGGGTGCGGAGCCCGGTTGCAAGAGAGATGCCGGGAGTTGAGTATGATCTGGAGATTGTGGAGGGGGGAAGCTGGGTAAGGCCGGGAACGAGCAGTGTTACTGAGCAGTGGCTTGGGAGAGGACAGCAGCCGTGGGAATTCTAAACACAGTTGTCAAACCCTCTTGTGGTCTTAACTCTTTTGGAAATGCTTCTTCACAGAGTGGCGGCAGAGAACGACTTCCTGCACAGTTTAATCCACAAAGCGATCGCGGCGAAGGAGGTCCATCACAAGGGACAAGGTAATCTCCTCCTATTCCCCCCCAGGGATCATTACAAGCTCCCACCTCAGCTCAGAGCTCCACAGTCTAGGCTGGAGGGAGCACTGCATTATCAGATGGGATGAAACAATAAACCCTCAGATAAGATATTAAACCAAGCTCCTGTCTATACTTGTTCAGGTCTGTGTCCTGGACATTAAACATCCCACAGTCCTATTGGGAAAGAGAAGGGAGTTTCTCTCTCTCTTTGTGTCCTGGCCAACAATCCCCCAGATAACATTGGTCACTCTGGCTATTTTTGGACATTGCTGTGCACAAATTAGCTGCCGCATCGGCCCACAAATCACGTAGTCACTACACTTTATATTAAATTCTGTGAGACTCTTTGAGTTTCTCATGCTAAAAAAGTCTTCAGTGTCATCAAGTCGTTATCAAGGACCCTTCTTGCTTTGGCATAAACCAGAAAGTGATGTTGGGAGATCATCTGACTGGAAATCGACCTTTATTTCTATTAGCTGAAGCGGTAACCGTGATGGTGCCTTGCTGAAAACTGTACTGTGGATCAGGATTTTAAGGATCCCAAACACTGTTGCATGTTTGAGTACACTGTGTCATAAAGTGGAGCGCTCCAAGACGCTATCCTGCCTGAAGAAACTCTAGTTGTTGTTGTTGATGTCCTACGGGTTGATGCTCTTGGGGAGATTAGTCACTACACCAATTTTTTAGTGCGGTGATCACAACATCAATAAAAAATTGCTGTTATATATCAAGTTTCACATCGGGAGGATGTCACAAAGTGCTGGATAGTCAAGGGTTTGCACCCGAGCTGGGGGTTGGAGTCAAGAGAGGTGGAGGGCAAGGAAGGTGGAGGTGGAAGATGACCGAAAGTGTGGTCATAGGTCTTGAAGGAGGCAAGGGAAGGGGCGAGGTGGAGGGATTCCAGGATGGAGTTCCAGAGAGTGTGGGCAGAAAGTTTGTTCAAAATGCAAGTGTTATTGTTTATATTAATTTGTTCTTTCTTCCCCTCCCCCACCGCACTCTCACACCTCCACCCACAACCACCACTACCCTCACTACCCCCAAAACACACGTGCACACACATACAACACACACAGGTCTTTGGGTCTCCATGAAACTCCTGTCAGGGGATCTGAAACAGATCCGGAAGGACCATCCACACTTGGTGGACAGGAACACGGTTGTGGCGAGAAAGATGGGATTTCCCGAGATCATCATGCCAGGTGAGGCCGCTCAGTGCCCCAGTGACAGGCAGATTGAGGGTTGTCAGCCAGCTGTCTGACACATGCTAAACCCCAACTCCGTGCTTAGCAGTCTTCAAACCAGATTCTTGAGTTCTACAACGATACACTTCTAGAGTCCCTTAGAATAGTGGTTACCTCGCTAGCCTCGCAAGCGAGAGGACCTGGGTTCGATTCCCAAGCAGGGCAAAACGTTAGGCAAGTTTCCTTAGTCCTTACTTCTCTGTTTACCAAGCAGTAAGTAGGAACCCGGTTATTAGACGACTGGCGAATCGCTTTCCGCGGCTGAATCCACGGCTGTTTGTGGTACATTGCTATGCGCAATTGGCTGCTGCATTTTGCCGACAACATTTACTGTCAATCCACTTTACAATATATCCTGTGAAGCGCTTTGAGAAGTCTCAACAACGTAATAAGGCGCTGTATCAAATGCAAGGATTATTATTATTTCCTACATGTGGAAATTTCAGGTCTAGGCCTGGCTCCCACTCACTTCTTGAAGGTTATGGCTTCAAGGCCCCGGGTCGGGGGCCATTGAGCTCATACAGTCTATGCTGACACTCCAGTGCAGTTCTGGGTGGGGGAGGGAATGTTACATTGGCGGAGGTGCTGTCCTGGGGGCTATTTGCGCTGCATTGCTGCGAGGAAATTGGCTGCCAGATTCACCTACAAAGCACACACATTATAAAGATACACTTTACAGTGAAATCTTGTTAAGTGCTTTGAGACGTCTTCCGGATGTAAAAGGCGCAGTATTAGATTTCAGGATTATTATGTATTAAATGCAAGTTGTTGTATTTAATGAATTCCTGTGAGAGAGACACAAATTCAGCACCAACTGTAGTGATAGGAGCAAATCCTGGAAGCACTTTGAAATGTGCTCCCGACGTGAAAGTGCCGGAGCAAACGTAAGGTCCATTACTATTTTAAGATTCTATTTCTATTAGGTTGAGTATTGATATGCTCTGGAACCCTAAGAGTGGCCACCAGAGGGCATCAGACGTCACAACACTGTAGCCTTGGCACACGCGTGTGTGTGTGTGTGTGGGGGGGGGGGGGGGGGGGCAGGTGAGTGAGTGTGTGGGGGGGGCGGTGAATATGTGAGTGTGGGGGGGGGCGGGTGAGTGTGTGTGTGTTGGGGGGGAGGGGGCCTGGTTGAGTGTGTGTGTGTGTGGGGGCGTCGGGTGAGTGTGTGTGTGTGTGGGGGGGTCGGGTGAGTGTGTGTGTGTTGGGGGGAGGGGGCGTGGTTGAGTGTGTGTGTGTGTGGGGGCGTCGGGTGAGTGTGTGTGTGTGTGGGGGGGTCGGGTGAGTGTGTGTGTGTGGGGGGGGGGGGTCGGGTGAGTGTGTGTGTGTGGGGGGGAGGGCGGGTGAGTGTGTGTGTGTGTGGGGGGGCGGGTGAGTGTGTGTGGGGGGGGCGGGTGAGTGTGTGTGCGGGGGTGGTGCTTGTGAGGGAGAACGGGAGGACGACAGTAGGTTTAATTCAGAGAAATATTGAAAAGCCGAATTGTGAAACAGCAGCTGTGTGAACTCATTAAAAGGAAAGTATTTATAAGAGGAAGCCGGACATGGGGGAGAAGGGACTGAAATGTATTGGGAAGGAGTAAGGAGTGAGTGGAATACAAACAACACCGGCACGGACTAGCTGGGCCGAATGGCCTGTTTCCATGCTGTACATTCCATTTAAGACATTTAAATCATAGAATCATAGAAATGTACAGCACAAAAAGAGGCCATTCGGCCCATCGAATCTGTGCCGGCTCTTTGAATAGAGCAATTAATGTCAATCCCACTCCCCAGCCCTTTCCCCATAACCCTGCAAACCCGTCCTCCTCAAATACCCGTTTTTAAAAGTTGTTATCGAATCGGCCTCGGCCACCCTTTCAGGCAATGCGTTCCAGATTAAAACAACTCGCTGCGTGAAAACATTTCTTCTCACCTCTCCTCTGCTTCTTTTAGAGACTATTTTGAATCTGTGACCTCGAGTCACCGACACACCCACCAGTGGAAACAGTTTTTCCCTTTCTAACCTATCAAATCCCCTCATGATTTTGAAGACCTCTATTAGGTCTCCTCGTAACCTTCTCTGCTCCAATGAGAATAATCCCAGCCTCTCGTGCCTTTCCTCATAATCAAGGCATCTCATTCCTGGTACCATCCTTGTAAATCTCCTCTGCACCCTTTCCAATGCCTTAACATCCTTCCTATAGTGTGGTGCCCAGAACTGGGCGCAGTATTCTAACTGAGGCCTAACCAGTGCTTTATATAGGTTAATCATTACCTCCTGACTCTTGTACTCTATGCCCCTATTTATAAAGCCTAGTATCCCATTTGCCCTTTTTTACAGCCTTATCTACCTGTCCTGCCACCTTCAAGGATTCATTTACCTGCACCCCCAGGTCTCTCTGTTCTTTTACCCCCTTAAGATTGTATTACCAGCCTGTATTCCTCCCCTCATTCTTTCTACCAAAATGCATTACTTCGCATTTCGCATTGAAACTCATCTGCCATGTGTCTGCCCATTTTACCATTCTGTCTATGTCTTCCTGCAGTTGGCTCCTATTCTTCTCACTGTTTACCACCCTATCTAATTTTATGTCGTCCGCAAATTTGGAAATGGTGCTTGCTATACCCAAGTCCAGATCATTTATGTATATTAAGAAGAGCAGTGGTCCTAATGCCGATCCCTGGGGGAAGCCACTGTATACTTCCCTCCAGTCAGAAAAGCAGCCGTTCACCCCAACTCTCTGCTTTCTGTCCTCCAGCCAGTTCTGGATCCATGCTGCCACTCTCCCTTTTATGCCATGGGCTTCTATCTTTCTTACAAGTCTTTTATGTGGCACTTTGCCAAATGCCTTTTGAAAGTCTATATAAACTACATCAACTGCACTACCTTTATCCACCCTCTCCGTTACCTCATCGAAAAATTCTATTAGATTTGTTAGACAAGATTTGCCTTTAACAAATCCGTGCTGGCTGTCCCTAATTAACCCATATTCTTCTAAGTGAAGATTTATTCTGTCCCGGATTATAGTCTCCAGGAGTTTGCCCACTACTGATGTTAGGCTGACTGGCCTGTAGTTCCCAGGTTTGTCCTTCTGCCCCTTTTTGTACAGGGGAGTCACATTGGCTACTCCTGTGTCCAACGAAGATTGAAAAATTGTAGCCAAAGCCTCCGCTATTTGTACCCGTGCCTCCCATAGTACCCTTGGTTGCATCCCGTCCGGACCGGGTGACTTATTTACCTTCAGCGCAGTCAACCTTTTCAGTACTTCCTCTTTGTTTATACTTATCCTATCCATTTCCTCTACCCTCTCCTCCGATACCGCGGCATTTGGTGCATCCACTTCTTTTGTGAAGACAGATGCAAAGTACTCATTCAGCACATCAGCCATGCCCTCTGCCTCCACAATAAGATTTCCTCCTTGGTCCTTAATTGGCCCCACCCTACCTTTGATTAGCCTTTTTTCCTTGATATGTTTGTAAAATACTTTAGAATTCCCTTTAAGGTTACCTGCTAACCTTTTTTCGTATAATCTTTTTGCCCCTCTTATTTCCTTTTTCAAACCTCTTCTGCACTTCCTATATTCGATTTGGTTGTCTTCTGTATCTTGGGTTCGACATTTGTCATAAGCCGCCTCCTTCGGCTTCATTTTAGATACAATTAGCTTCGTCATCCACAGAGGTTTGGAAGCCCTACTTTTCCCTTTTATTTTTCTTCTTATTCTTTTTTTTTGGCTAAATGCTTATTGAATCTGGAGGTTGCCACCTTTAAATAATAATCAAAATAAAAATCGTTACGTTTGATAGAGCGTCTTTCACGTTGCGAGAACGTCTCACAATGTTTCACTTGATTTACTGTGTATTTTGTTGGTGAACGCAGCAGTCAGTTTACTCACAGCAATGTCCCACAAACAGCCATGAAGTGAACAACCAATTTTATTTGGGGGCTTGCCGGCCAGGACACTGAGAGAAACTACTTTCTCTTTTTGAGTAACGCCACAGGATATTCACCTTCCATCTGAATGGGCATTGATGGGCTCAGTTTAACATGTCATGTGAGCGATGGCACTTACTCCACAGCCCTGCAGTATCACCTTAGACTATATGGGTTCCAGATTAGGATGTGGGGTTTGAACCCACAACAGCACCAATGGTGGAGCGGAGGGTATGAGCCATAAACAGGAGGCTGGAGCCAGCTGAGGCGGAGACAGTGGGTGGGGAAGTGGGGGGTAAGCAGATCAGATAGGTAGGAAGGTATAAGAATTGAAATGAAAACGAGTGAGAGGATCTTGAAACCGATCCGTTCGATAATTGGGAGTCAAAGCAGCCTGGCAAGGCTTGGTGTGATGGGGATATGGAGTTTTGTGCGGTGACTATCCGGGTGGCGGAGTTGTGAATTAGTTGAATTTTGTGAATGATGGAGCTGAGGAGACCAGCGAGGGAGCATTGGAATAGTCCAGCCAGTAAGTGACAAAGGCGTAGACGAGGGTTTTAACTGCATTGGTTGTGAGGTACGGACGGAGGCGGGCAATGTGATGGAGGTGGAAAAAATCTGTCCTGGTCAGGGGAACGGATGTGGAGTAGAAAGGAAAGCTGGGGATCGAACCTAACACCAAAGTTGCGCACGGTTCGGTGAGTCTGAGGAAGAACCCAGGGAGGTTGAGGAGCTCAGACCCGCAGGAGAGAAAACGTTGATTGGAGCCAAAGAGTATGGCTTCCGTCTTGCCAACAGCTGCAGGAAATTTGCGCTTATCCAGGACTTGATGTCTGTCAAACAAGCTGACAGGACATTAGCGGATTGGGAATCGCAGCTGGGGAAGAAGAAGATTTGGGTATTATCCACTTACATGTGGAAGTTGACCCAATGTCTGTGGGTGACGTCGCCAAGAGGGAGCATGTAGATGAAGAAGAGAAGGGGGACAAAGCTGGAGCTTTGGGGTACCCCGCAGTTAACCAGGCTGGGGCAGAAAGAAAAAACATTTTTCGAGATGTATTGTTGCCAGTTTGTTAAGTAGGACTGGAACCAAGCGAGTGTGGTCCCACTCGCGTGGTTGAGGGAGGAGGATGGCATGATTGACTGTGTCAAACACGCTGGAGAGGTTGAGGAGAATGAGAAGGCAGAGGGAGCCCAGGTCACAGTCATTGTTACTTAGATGAGCGCTGTCTCTGTGGTGTGGGCAGGGCGAATACTGGACTGGATGGGTTCGAGTAGGGAGTGGAGGGAGAGGTGTGAGCAAAGTTAATTTGCAATGACGGGTTACTAAAACTTTGGCCAGGAAAGGCAGGTTTGAGATAGGTCTGAAGTGAGTGAAGTTGGAGGGATTGAGGGTAGGTTTTTTTAAGAAGAGGATAGCGGTTTTGAGGGGGAGTGGACAGAGCCTGAGGAGAGGAACTGGTTAATTGTGTCAGCAAGGAGTGGGCAGAAGAGGAGGAGTTGAATGACCAGAAGTTGAGTGGGGATGGGTTTGAGCAGCAGTGATGGGTGATGGAAAGGGAGGAGGGAGGAAAGGGGGCAAAGGAGTATAGGGTGTGGGTCGTTGTAGGAGCCATGGTAAGAGGAGAGGGTGATGAAGGAGCCATGATGGTGGTGGTAGGTGACATGGGGGGACGGGAGAGGAGGAGCAGCCAGGTTTTCTATATTAGAGATAAAGAAGTCCGTGACCTCTTCGCACTCGATATCAGAAGTGAGGATTGACGGTGCTTGAGAGGGAGCGTGGAGCAGGTGGTGGAAAGTGGAGAACAGGATTTTGGGGTTATTTTGAACACAACTTCAGAGCAGAGAGTTCTACCGACTGAGCCAGGTTGACACATGACTGAAGTGTGGGCCAGAGATGTAAATGTACCAATATTTCACCACATAGAAACCATCTGTTTTGACTCAAGATGGTTCTCGCCCATTACTACCGAGAAGATTTCCCCGTTACAATTGAGGGAATTTCCTCATTATTGTCTGGCAGATTTCCCTGTTATAATCAAGGGGATTTCTCCATTATAGTATACAGGATATTACAATTACAGTCTAGGGGGATTTCCTCATTACAGACTAGAACAACAACAAGATTCCATTTATAGAGCGCCTTTCACGTCGGGAGGACGTCCCAAGGCGCTGTACAGTTGGGTCAGGACCCGAGCGGGGGGAGAATGGTCAGGGTGAGGGGAGGGAAGGGAGGGAGCGAGGAGGGGGGAAATGGTCAGGGTGAGGGGAGGGAAGGGAGGGAGGGAGCGAGGAGGGGGTAGAGAGTCGAGAGGGGAGCTGAAGGCTCGGTCAAAGAGAAAGGTCTTGAGACCGGCCTTGAAGGAGGAAAGGGAGGAGGCGGCGAAGGCACTGGGGGATAGAGTTCCAGAGCCTCGGGGCTGAGAGGCTGAAGGCCCGGCCACCGATGGTAGGGCGGTTGGGGCGGGGGATGTGGAGCAGACCGGAGCCAGAGGAACGGAGGGTACGGGCAGGTAGGTAGGGGGATAGTAGGTCAGAGAGGTAGGAGGGAGCGAGGCCGTGAATGGCCTTGTAGGTCAAATCTAGGGGATTTCCTCATTACAGGCCAAAGGGATTTCCCCCTTACATTCTAGCGGATTTCCCCATTGTAGGCCAAGGAATTTCCCCATTACAATCCAGTGGATTTCCCCATTATAGCTCGGGGATTTCCCCATTACAGGCAAGGGGATTTGGCCATTACAGTCTGGAGGATTTCCCCGTTGCTCTCCGAGAGTAACGAAGTGCTTGCGTTCCCTGTCCACCTCAGGTGACGTGCGGAACGACATCTACGTGACTCTGGTGCAGGGTGAGTTCGACAAACAGAACAAGACCACGCAGAAGAACGTCGAGGTGACCATGTGCGTGTGTGACGAGTATGGAAGTGTCATCCCGGTAAGCTTTTATTTTCTGGTGTTCTGGGTTTTTATCATCATCCCAGTCACTCCCTTCTCCTACCCCTTCCTATCCACGTCATTAAAATTGATCCCACTACCGTTGACCTGGCCGGCCCCACCTTTGACCGCTGGTTCCATGCTGGCCCGGGCGTTTCATCACCTGCTCCGGGAAGAGTGGCTTAGCTCCACTTTGAAACCGTTCCTGGGAAAGGCACCAAAAGCCTGGGATCGGCACAAAACTGGGGTCAGTGAGTGAGTCAAAGGCTTACGGCTCAGTGGCCTCAGGTGAATCTATTTGAACGCAGATATGAGGGGAGTTTGGAGTGAGGAGGAGGGGGGGGAAGGGGCTTGTGTATGTGTGTAGGTGTATGTGTTATTGTTGTTTTCAGATACCCCAGCACTCTTTTCTCTGAGTTAGAAGCAATCTTTCCCGCACCCCCACCAAATGCATTGCGATGATGTGATAAGGCACTGAATCGAACAAAAGGATTCTTGTTAATAATTTATTATGTTCCGTTATGAACAGTGTGGTGTGTAATTGAGGCTCGTCTTCCTTATAAAGACATAATAAAGCCCAATTAAGAAAATACTGGGGCTATCAATACTATTGATAGTGGAAATTAATTCCAATTTATAACATTTATCCAGAGCCCATGATTAGATTACAGCAATAAACCCGCTCCCATGTATGCATGTGTTTTTTTTAATAATATGTTTTGGTTTAAGCAATGAGGCTTATTGAGAATCTGGGAGTTCTCTCAGTGCTGGCTGGCACAGGTCAGGATTTATACAGCTCATCACATTCCCATAACTAAAAACAGCAACAATGTGCACTTATATAGTGCCCTCCATACAGGGTAGCATCTCAGAACGCTTGACAGTGGGGTCGGGGGTAGGGGGCAGGTGACGGTAAGCACAGTTGAAAAGGTTTTCAGGCAGGACTCTGAAAAAGGGGAGAGGGGGGCAAGGCGGGGAGATAGAGGGAGAGTGTTCCAGAGTTTCGGGGCTTAGTGGGTGAAAACGCGATCTCCAGTGGTGGAGCAGAGGGTGCAAAGGGCGAGCAGGAGGCAGGTGCCAGTCGAGTGGAGGCGCCGGGTGGTGGATTGGGGAGTGAGGAGGTTGGAGAGGTAGGGAGGTGCCAGGGAGTGAATGGATTTGAACACAAATGTGAGGATCTTGAAGTCGATCTGTTCAGTGATGGGGAGTCAGTGGAGCTTGGCCAGAACTGGTGAGATGGGGGTATGGAGTTCGGGTCAGTATGCGGGCGGCAGAGTTCTGAATGAGCTGGATCTTTTGAATGGTGGAGCTGGGGAGACCTGATTTGAGTAATTCAGGCGGGAGGTGACAAACGTAAGCGTGAGGATTTCGGCTGCATTTAGGGTAAGGTACGGTCGGAGGCGAGCAATGTGGCAGAGGTGGAGGAAGGTGATCCTGATCAGGAACCGGATGTGGGGGAGGAAGGACAGCTGGGGGTCAAATTGGATGCCTAGATTGCGCACTGGGTCGGTGAGTTTGAGGGAGAGCCCAGGGAGGTTGAGGAGTTCAGATCCGCAGGAGTGAAGACATTTGATGGGAGCCAAGGAGTATGGCTTCTGTCTTGTCCATATTCAGCTGCAGGAAGTTTCCACTCATCCAGGCCCTGATGTCTGCCAGACAAGCTGATAGAACATCGATGGACATGGAGATGGTACTGGAGGAGGCAAATTAGATTTGTATGTCATCCACATATATGTGGATGTTTACCCCGTGTCTGTGGAGGCCATCGCCCAGAGGGAGCATATAGATAAGGAAAAGAAGAGGGTCAAGGATGGAGCCCTGGGTACCCCACATGTCACTGGGAGGGGTCGGGAGGAGAAACCATTTGCTGAGATGATGTGGAGGCAGTTGGTTAAGTAGGACTTCAGCCATGTAAGTACGGTCCCACTAAGGTGGGTAATGAAGGAGAGGCAGTGGAGGAGGATGGCCTGGTCGATTGTGTCAAACATGGCAGAGAGATCCAGGAGGACGAGGAGGCAGAGGGAGCCCTGGTCACAGATAGATAGATGGATGGATGGATGGATGGATGGGTGGGTGGGTTGTTCGGGTGGGTGGATGGATGATCCTTACATTTGATATAGTGCTTTTCATGTCTTCTAGACTTCTAAAAGTGTTACACAGAATATACTGTAAAGTGAATTGACTGTATATATATGGGCGAAACACAGCAGTGTCCCACAAACAGTCGTGACGAGAGAGAATGTCGCCTGTGACTTTGGCAAGCGCTGTCTTTGTGATGTGGGTAGGGTGAAAACCAGACTGCAGGGGCTCGAGGAGGGAGTGGAGGGAGAGGTGTGACCGAAGTTGACCTGCAACAATACCAACCAGGACTTTAGCATGGAAGGGTAGGTTGGAGATGGGACGATAGTGTGAGAGATTAGAGGGATCAAGGGTAGGTTTTTTGAGGAGGGGTGTGATGACAGCGGTTTTCAAGGGGAGTGGAACAGAGCCCGAGGAAAGAGACTCGTTGACCGTGTCGGCCAGCAGGGGGGAGAGGAGGGGGAGTTGAGTGACCAGCATCTGGGTGGGGAAGGGATCAAAGTAGCAGGTGGTGAACTTCATCCGGGTGATTGTGGTTGAGAGAGAGGAGGGAGAAATGGGGGCAAAGGAGTGTGAGGAGGGGGGAGTGGCAGGAGGCATGGCAGAGGGCGAAGGTGGTGTGGATGGTCTGGGTGGGGTGGAAGGTGACATGGGGGCTGGAGGGAAGCAGCCAAGCAGAAGTTTTCAATCTTTGAGGCAAAAAAGTCTAGGACCTCTTTGCACTTGGCGTTTGATGTGAGGATAGAGGATAAAAATCCAAAAGAAGCACAAGTCCTTTGCTTGTTACCATGTTGTCCTTATCAGGCATCCAGAGCTTGTCTCTGGAATAACTCAACTTCTCCCTTTCCTTAATATCCCCCACTCTACTCCCCTCCCCTATTCAGTTTCTCCTACTCAGTTCTCTCCCTCCCTCCCACCCCTCACTCTGTCCCTCTCTCTTTCACCCTCTACCCTGGAGTCCTGTAACGTAGTGGTTAGAGCACTCACCTTGCAAGCGAGAGGATCCAGGTTTGATTCCCAGGCTGGGCGAAACCTTAGGCTAGTTTCTTTACTTCACACACTTCTATTTACCTAGCAGTAAGTAGGAATCTGGTTGTTAGTGAATCATTTTCCAGGGGTAATAATCGCTTCAATAAAAAAAAGTTTGATCACTCAATTCACGACTGTTTATAGGATACTGCTGTGCACAATTGGCTGCCGAGTTTCGCCCACAAAATACACAGTCAATTCATTTTACAGTATATTCCTGTGAAGCGCTTTGAGACATCTCAACAACGTGATAAGGTGCTATATCAAATGCAAGGATTACTACTATTACCATAGGTCAGTCGAAGAGCTACGTTTTGAGGTGGAATTTAAAGACAGAAAAAAGTGAATGAGATGAGGGAAGAGGGAGGGAGTTCCAGAGGTTGGAAACTGAAAACTCAGCCATTTATAGTGGGCGGAGAGGGCCAGTGAGTGGAAAAGTAGGGTAGAAGATCAGAGGGTGTGCCAGGGAGTGGTTGGATTTATAGGTAAGGGTGAGGATCTTGAAATTCATCCGCTGGAAGGAAGCGCCTTTGTTTGTGGAGTCGTGTAGCTCAATGGTTAGAGCACTTGCCTTGCAAGCAAGACACCTGGGTTCAATTCCTGGCAGGGCGTAAACCTTGGGCAAGTTTCCTCACTCCACATGCCTAATAATAATCCCTCCAAAACAAAAACAATAATAAGTTGGTAATTTTCAATCCACGACTGTTTATGGGACACTGCTGTGCGCAATTGGCTGCTGCGTTTCGCCCACAAATAACAGTCAATTCACTTTACAGCATATTCTGTGAAATGCTTTGAGATGTCGAGAAGACGTGAAAAGCGCTATATCAAATGCAAGGATTATTATTATTATCTCATCCTTCCAGAACACCCAGCCCACCATCCCCCCATCACAGCATTGAGCTGCTTTTTAAGTGAGTCCCAGCTCTCTCACCTAAAATCTTCCCCCACTTCCTGGCAACCTCATTAATTACCCTATGGTGTATGTCCTGAAATTGCCCCTTTGCAACTCTAAACCTGTGTCCTCTTGTTCTGCTGTCTTGATACATCCCAAGGTAACGATCGAGGTTTACTTCTTCAATTCCATTTAAAATATTAAACACCTCCATAAGGTCCCCTCTGAGTCATCTTCTCTCAAGATTGAAGAGCCCGAGTTTGTCTGATCGTTGCTCACAGCTCATTCCTCTAACACTAGAGATCAGCCTCGTTGCTCTCCTCTGCACTGTCTCCTCTGCCTGAGCGGCCCCTTATGTCACAGTGACCAGGACTGTCTGTGGTGTTCAAAGTGAGGCCTGACCCGAGCCCTGTCCAGTGTGACGTCTGGGGATCTGAAGTCAGATGATTTAGTGGTATAACCCAAATACCTGGGCAGGGGATGGGGGGAGAGGGGGAGTGGAAGAGCCCCATGATGTGTCAAAACTACTCAGTGTTGGATGGAAGGAAAAACAAACTCCTGGAGTAAGTGTAAGTAAAACAACAACGACAACAAGATTCCATTTATAGAGCGCCTTTCACGTCGGGAGGACGTCCCAAGGCGCTGTACAGTTGGGTCGGGACTTGAGCGGGGGGGGGGAAATGGTCAGGGTGAGGGAAGGGAGGGAGTGAGGAGGGGGTAGAGAGTTGAGGGGAGCTGAAGGCACGGTCAAAGAGAAAGGTCTTGAGACCGGCCTTGAAGGAGGAAAGGGAGGAAGCAGCGAAGGCACTGGGGGATAGAGTTCCAGAGTCTCGGGGCTGAGAGGCTGAAGGCTCGGCCACCGATGGTAGAGCGGTTGGGGCGGGGGATGTGGAGCAGACCGGAGCCAGAGGAACGGAGGGTACGGGCAGGTAGGTAGGGGGATAGTAGGTCGGAGAGGTAGGAGGGAGCGAGGCTGTGAATGGCCTTGTAGGTGAGAATGAGGATCTTGAATTCGATCCTCTGGGGGATGGGGAGCCAGTGGAGGTGAGCGAGGGTGGGAGTGATGTGGTCGCGGTGTCTGGCGCGGGACAGTACACGAGCTGCAGAGTTCTGAATGACCTGCAGCTTGTGGAGGGAGGTGCCGGGAAGGCCGGCGAGGAGAGAGTTCCCATAGTCCAGCCTTGAGGTGCTAAAGGCGTGGACCAGAGTTTCAGCAGCGTGAGGGGTGAGGTAGTGCCGTAGTCTGGCGATATTCTGGAGAATGTCCGGAATGTTCCGGACCCACAGAAACGAGAGCCCTTTAGTCCCGTGATGTTAACTCTACCTTACGACCATCTACAAAAGAATGAGGCAGCACCTCTCAGTGGGGTTTGACTGCTGCTATCTCTACGGACACTGTGTAGTCATTAAGCTACAACCTGACTCTATGTAAGTCACGTAATTATTCCGGTTTCACATGAATATCAAACGTCAGCTTCCGAACTAACACAAAATAAAGGTAATCAATTTTCCCCCCACCAGCCAAAGACGTGTTGTTAATGAAGTGCTCAGGCAATGGACCGGTAATAGAGAGAGACAGAGAAAATGCCAATCTCTGGGCCAGATTGCAAATGCAATTCATCACTCTTGAAGTTGTGCATTTATAAAATAAAGAATCTTATTTTTTTTAAATTGCTAATTATTCTCCCTATATCTTCCCCTTTCCCAATTCCAACTCCCTCGCTCTCTTCCTTTTCATTTCCCTCCCTCTCTCACCACCCCCCTTCCCTTTTTCCCTCCCTCTCTCCCCTTCCCTCCCTACTTCTCTCTCCCTCCCTCCTTCTCTATCCATCTCCCTCCCGCCTTCCCTCCTCTCTCCCTTTCTCTCTCTCCATCTCCCTCTTTCCCTCCCTCTCTCTACCCCATCCTCTCTCCCTCTCCCTCCTCCCTCCCTCTCTATCCATCACTCTCTTTTCATCCCTCCTGCTTCATTACCTCCCTCCCTCCTTCCCTCCCCCTCTCTCTCCCCCACCCTCCCTCCTCCCGCCTCGCCTCACCGTGATGTTCAGAACGCAATTTGTCAAGGAGCTGGGGATAGACCTGTCACTCGGTACCAATCGGTTGTATATTACCAACTGAGGCAACAGCGCTGGATGGAGACTGTCAAGGTGAGATTTGCGTTTGTACAACATCTTTCACACTGGTGCTGCCTGACTGGGAGCCCGAGCTGAGGAACGTGTATTCAGAGGGTAAAGTGACCAAAGTAACTTGTTTTCAAATGGAAGGGGAAAAAAATCTCATGGTCATCCTGGCTTGGTCGGCAGCACTCTCACCTCTGAGTCAGAAGGCTGTCGGTTCAAGCCCCACATCGAGACTTTGAGCTCACAGTCTAACCTGACACTCCAATGCAGTGCCGGAGGGAGCGCTGCAGTGTTGGAGGTGCCGTCCTTCGGATGAGACGTTAAACCGAGGTCCCGTCTGTGCCCTGTTCAGGTGGACATTAAAGATCCTGTGGTACTTTTGGAAAAGTGAAGAGAGTTTCTCTCCCGGTGTCCTGGCTGACAATCCCCCAGATAAAATTGGTCGCTCGCTTGATGGACGTTTGTGGAGACATTTCTGTGCATAAATTTGCTGCTGCATTCGACTACAGTAAAATCTGTGAACTGCTTTGAGACCTCTTGATGACGTGACAAGATGCTATACCAAATGCAGGAGTTATTTATAAGGTCCGTGAATTCACAGATCATGGGAGAAGTTCTACCTCAAAACTTCTCACGAGTGTTAAAATTATTTTAATGGCACACAAGAGCCATGTGATTAAAATATAAGCAAGTCGGGATTGAGCGAAGATCAATTGGCTATCCCTTTGCTCCTGACCTCTGCATCTATCCGAGCTCTGAAATTCATCAGCACAGATTTAATTGTTAAAGTATTACCCTGATAATCCATCCTGGATTATCAGGATTGTCCTCATAAATCATAGCCTGGGAGACAATTTTTCTCTTAAAACTTAAGATCGCCCAGAAATGATGCAAACATGACCAGTCGCTGGGGTCAGCGATTCTTCTCACTTGGTGTTGCTGTTACCATGTGATGCAAATGTAGAGTGGTCCTAGCTGGACAAACAGAGGGAAAGTCTCATGGCATTATTATTATTATTGTTTGGTGTGACAGGTGCCTGACCTACGGGGAAGCCCATCACCGTGCTTAAGAGTATCCAAACTAGACAAACTAGCTTGTCATTAAGAGCTCTGTCTGGCAAGCTTTCCCGCTGCTTGTCCATCTAGCACCATCCTCCTGTTGGGGCTTTGGTTTGCAGGGTGACCAGGAGCTGAGTGAAAAGAATCCCTGCCCCCAGTGACTGGTCTGTCCCTTGAAAGTCTTACTGATGAGCCAGGCTGGGCTGTGCTGTTATCAGTAGAGCCTTGTGGACCCACCTGGCTCAGAAACCGGACTCGAGACCACCACAGAGGACTGGCTTGATTCCAACATTCTATTGCCAAACATGTCACCTTGGAGCCAGTTCAGCTCTGAAGACACTCCTCATACCTCCTGGTACAGCAGTTCATTCCAATTACCCCAATAAATATAAAACACAAAATACTGCAGATGTTGGAAATCTGAAAACAAAAACAGAAGTCACTGGGAACACTCAGCAGGTCAGGCAGCATCTATGGAGAAAGGAAAGTGAGTCAACATTTCGGGTCAACGACCCTTCGTCAGAACTGGGGCATGTTGGGAGGGAGAGGCTTTTAAGAGCTAACAGAGAGGGGGAGGCAGGGCAAGGAAAAAAGATACCCGTTTCCCTGCTCACAGTTCTGTGTTCTAATCATGTCTTGCCATTGTAACCTCAAAGAACAAGAACAGTGAATGTGGTAAATGTCCCTGTGCCTACAATTCTGAACATCTATGAGTGTCCTCGACTCCTATCATAATAATAATCTTTACATTTCATACATTGACTTTCATATCAGGAGGATGTCTCAAAGCGCTTCACAAGATTCACGGTACCATCTGCTGACTGTAGGCAAATATGGCAGACAATTTGCACACAGCAAAGTCCCACAAATAGCCATGAAGTGAATGAGCAGTTTTACCTGGGGGATTATTGGCCCAGAAGGACATTAGGAAAGAGAAAGTCGCAAATTGGCTGCCGCGTTCACTTACAAATACTCAGTCACTAAGTATCACATTAAAAGCATATGAAGCGCTTTGAGACGTCCTCCAGTGTGATAAAGTGCTGCATCAAATTCAAGGATTATTATGTGTTAAATGGATTGGAATCATCGTGAAAATTGAGCCTGGTGGATTGAAAGCAGTGGGTTAATGGGCCGAGACCTGTGCTCATTTCATACAGGAGTACTCTCAATATGTATTCATTTTGCCTCATTACTTTTTTTGCAAATCTCCCACTGTTTGAAGATTTGATAAAAGTCCATAATTTTTTCTAAAAACTCAAGTACAGTAATTCTATACGAGGCTTGCATTCTTCACTCATTTTGACCAGTCTTCAGAACATATTCGCTTGCATTGGAATAAAATACACTGTAATTCCATCACTTTCTCAGAGAAAGTGCTTGTATTTTTTTAATGAAAGACACTTCCACTTCGAGTGTCGGGAGGACATGTCAAACTGCATCACACAATTTACCATAAAGTGCAGTCGTTATTTTTTAGGTGAACCCCGCAGCCAATTTGTGCACAGCAACATCCCCACAAACAGCTATGAAGTGAATGGCCCGTTTCTTTTAATCTGGGGAATTGTCAGGCAGGGCATTGGGAGAAACTCCCTTCACTTCCCGAGCACTGCCATTGGATATCAACCCCTGAAATAAAATTGGTCACTCAGTTTAAGTCTATTTGTGGGACGTTGCAAAATGGCTGACAAATTGCACTGCTGTGAAATATTTTGAGATGTGCTGATGGTGTGATAAGGCACTGTATTACACGCAAGGATTATTAATCTGCAAGAATTCACCAGGAAGCAGATTAATTAATTGTTCTGTAATCGGGAATAAAAGTGCTTTATGATAATATAACAATAGTTCGCATAACTAAAGTCACTGCACTTCAAAGTGACTCACCCTTGTATGAGGGCTGCAAAGCTCTGAGTCAAATGCAAGTATTATTGTTCCTCCAGTTACTGACTCTGTTGCACCAAGAAACTCATTGAAATATTTCTCTGTGACCCACCAGGTTGCTATTCCCATTGAAGATGTCCACAAGACTCACCTCAGGTTCACTTTTAAGCACAGGTCATCTGGTGACTGTAAGTACGACTGTATGTTAACATTTTGTGTGCCGCTATTCAAAGGGTTATCTTGAAAGCGTTAAATAATCTCAGCCCTAACAAGAAACTTGTTTGGCTCAGTCGGCAGCGTTCTCGCCTCTGAGTCGGGTCAAGGCCCACGTTAGGACTTTTGAGTTTACAGTCTCGGTTGATGTTCCAATGCAGTGCTGGGAGAGCACTGCACTGTCGGAGGTGCTGTCCTTTGAATGAGACATGAGGTCCTGTCTGGCAGTTCAGGTGGATGCTGAAAAGCATGTGATACGATTAGAAGGGAGAAAGGAGTTTCCCCCCAGACAGTCACACAGGTAAAATTGGTTATTCACTTCAGTAACTGTACATGGTTAACTGTGTTGACTGCCACCTGAACAGGCAGATTGTGTCTCATCAGAAAGACCCTCCTTTGATATTGCAGTGCTGCACTGAACAACAGGTTGTGTTTATACAGCGCCTTTCACGTAGGATAAGGTCTCAGATTGCTTCATGGTAGCAGGGTTAGATGTAGGACTTGGAACAACAACAAAATTACATTTGTATAGCGCCTTTCACGTCAGGAGGATGTCCCAAGGCGCTGGACAATCACTGTTTCGGACCCGAGCTGGGGGTCGGTATCAAAGAGGCTGGAGGGCAATGGGGGAAGGAGGAAAAGTGACCATAGATACGGTCAAAAGGTAGATTTTAGGGTGGGATATTAAGATAGATAGAGAGGGGAAGAAGCGGATGCAGCGTGTTCCAGAGGCTAAGAGCACTGTGCCAGGGTGTCAGCCTGGATTACTGTGAGCTCAGGATCCCTGACATGGGGTCCTATCATAGCATCCAAAGCTGTGCATTATAATTACAATTTACATTTACACAGCGTCTTTCATATCAGGAGGATGTCCCAAATGCTTGACGCTGATGGCTGAGCACCTGAGCTGGGAGGAGTGGTGGGAACTGGGGGGAACAAAAGTTCTTTATGAGCCATTCGCCAATGAAGGTCAAACCAAATGGAAAACATTCATCATTTTGCAAAAGCTAATGTTCACCATTAACGTCCCTTTGTATCCCAGCCAAAGATAAGAGCGAGAAAATATTTGCCATGGCGTACGTGAAGTTAATGAAACTAGACGGGACCACGCTACGAGACGGGGAGCACGATCTGATCTTATACAAGGTACAAAGAGTGAATAATTGTGTGTCAGCCTGGCTCAGTGGTAGCACTCCTCCTCCTTCCTCAGCGGTAGCGCTCTTGTCTCTGAGTTAGAAGCTTGTGGGTTTAAGCCCCACGTCAGGATTTGAACTCGCATATTCTAAGATGACATTCCAGTGCAGCGCAAGGGTGTGTTGCAATGTCGGAGATGCCGTCTGTTCAATAACAACTTGCATTTATCACACAGGGTGGTTCATGTTCATATTTAGCTACGTTCAGGTGGATGTTAAAAGATCCCATGGCACCATTCAAAAAGAGAAGGGAGTTTCTCACCCCGGTGTTCTGGATAATAATCTGCCAAATAAAATCGGTCATTCACTCCATGGCTGTTTGTGGAACATTGCCTACAAAAATACAGTCACTCCATTTCACAGTAAAACTCCCGTGAAACTGTTTGGGACGTCTTCCTGATGTGAAAGGCGCTATACCAAATGCAAGGATTATTATTAATTAATATTCTTATTCTTATAACTTTCAGAGTTACAGCCCGTCTCTAAATTTTTTATTTCAGGGATTCTTTCATTTGAGTGTACGGCTCAGTCGGTCACCTTCCCGCCTCTGAGGCAAAAGGTTATGGGTTCAAATCCACCCCCACCCCTCTCCCCACACATGGGGGACTTTCAGGCTGACAATCAGTGCAGTGTTGCGGTTGTATTTCATTGTCGGAGGTGCCATTGCTCAGAAGAGACCTTAAACCAAGGTCCTATCTGTGCCCTATTCATGCGAAGATTAAAGATCCAATGGTGCTTTTATTTTGGGGGATTGTTGGCCAGGACACTGGGAGAGAGAAACTCTCTTCTCTTGCCAAGTATCCACGGGATCTTTGACGTCCACCTGAGCAGGCACAGGCTCAGTTTAACATCTCATCTGAAAGACAGCAAATCTGTCAGTGCAGCGCTCCCCAACACTGAATTGGAGTGTCTACTTAGATAATATGAGTTCCAGGGAGGGGAGGATGGGGAGAGAGGAGGGAGGGTGTAGGGAATGAGCCAAAGGGAGGACTTGAACACACAACCTTCTGAGGACTGAGACCGGCTGACACTATATTCATATAGTGTAAGTGGAACATTCTTCCTCTCTCCAAACCATGTTATGGTAATGCATTATTCATTATGGAAATTAGCAAACTCTTAAGAATAATGAATGAAGAAATAATATGTTTGCAGTGTGATATAATGTCTGTAGATCATATACATTGCTCACAATTAGTTGATAGCTCGAACAATGAAGGACTCTTCCTCCCCTGTCCACACACTGATCAAACCCCCAGCCTTAAGCAGTATATGGTCCATTTTTTTTCACCCACAGAATATACAGTCACTTTACTTTACAATATAATCTGTGAAGCGCTTTGAGATGGGTCAACGACATGACAAGGTGCAAAATCAAATGCAAGGATTATTATTATGATGATGACAATCACGGGAGATTGATAATCAGTGATAATCAATAAGTCAATATTAGCTCATTGCATGTCAGGAGGACGCCTCAAAGCGCATCACACAATTTTACTGTAAAGTGCAGTAACTGTGTATTTTGTTGGTGAACATGGCAGCCAACTTGGCAAAGCAATGAGGTGTGAACTGCCCAATTTTTTTTCTCGGAGTGGGTGGGATTGTCGACCTGATACTTGACACACCAAATTGGCTGCCGCATTCACCTACCAAATACACACTTGACAGAGAATCCTGTGGTGCTTGTGTGGGTTGTTTCAATGCTTGTTATTAATTAGTTATTTATCCTTTCTTCCTCTCCCAATCATACCCTTCCCCAACCCACTCTTTCACCCTCCCCTTGTCCCCGCCCTTCCCCCTGCCTCCCGCTCCTCCCCCTCATTCCTCTCTCCTCCCCCGTACCCTCAACCCATCCTCACTCCCTGTGTGTAGGGCGACAGTAGGAAGCTCGAAGATCCTAACATTTACCTGAACCAAATATGCAGTCGGCAGTCGGACCACAAGTTGAGTCTGAGCGCCTCGTTCCGAAGCAGTAGCGGAAGTCACCTTGTCTGCTCCAGGGACAGTTTCCAGATCTCCACCCTCGTCTGCTCCACCAAACTCACCCAGAATGGTGAGTCTGCTCAGCCCAGTCCAGCCCGCCAATGGGCTTGATTTCAAGATCCTCACTCTCACATACTCTCTCCCCTTTTTCAAGTCTCGCCATAAAACCTTCCTCTTCGACCATGCTTGACCCCCAGCTTGGAGTCAGGCTCCGCCACTGTTAAGGGCTCTGAGATGCTACCCTACGTGAAGGCGCTATATAAGTGCAAGTTGTTGTTGTTGTTGAAGAGTGCTGTTATTGTGGCTGATGATTATGGGGTGGGGGTAGGGTGGGGGAGGGTGATGGGTTCGGTGCAGTCCGTTACTTGCTGATACTTTTATTATGTAGAACAACAAATTACATTTGTGTAGTGCCTTTCACGTCAGGGTATGTAATGGGTTTGGGGAAAGTGGGATTGAAAGGTGCACCGTGATCTAATAAAAGCAACAGCCGCTTGCATCTACACAGCACCTTTCCTGCAGGGAATCGTTCCAGAGTGCTTAACGGGAACGGAGTCGGATGCCGAACAGGGAAGACGGAAAGGGGATGGTGACCATAGGCGCAGTTAAAGAGTTAGGATTTAAAGATGGATAGAGAGCGGAGGGGTAATGTAGCGCTCCGAGATGCTATCCTGCATAAAGGGCACTGGGGAAATGCCAGCGAGATGTTGTTGAGGAGGAGGAGATGGTTCTAACCCGTGCGTTTGTGTTCCCGCTGGAGCAGTGGACCTCCTGGGGCTGCTGAAGTGGCGATCGAACGTGGGCTTCCTGAATGAGAACCTGCGGAAACTGATGAAGGTGGACGGAGGCGAGATTGTCAAGGTAACAGCAAATGTCACTGTGGAAAATTAACCACAGTCTCCACGGAATGGCGCTTGATGCGGGGCTTAAAATATATCAATGTGCTTCACAGGGAATTGACTGTATTTTGCAGGCGAACCCAAGCAGTCAGATTTGCACACAGCAACATCCTGCAAACAAGCATTGAATGAGTGACTGATTTTATCCGTGTGATTATCAGCCAGGATACCGGGAGAGAGAAATTCCCTTCTCTTTTCTAATAGCTCCGCCTGAACAGGGCACAGAGGGGAATCCGGTTTAATGTTTCATCCAGAGGGCAACTCTGTAGTACTCCAGGACACTGCTGATTCAAGCGCTCTAAAATGCTATTACTGTGACGGTCCCTACATACATGTATATAAATGCAAGTTGTTGTTGTTGTCCCTCCAGGATAGAGAGTGCGCATTCCATTCCAGGTACAGGGTCATTTCCCTGGCATGATCGGCGTGCATATACGTGAATCTCTCAGTAGTTTGGTGTGGAGACTTTCAACCACGGCGATTTTATTCAATAATATATTTTTTAAATCCTTGCATTTGATACTGTGCCTTTCACGTTGGCAGTGGGTTTCTAACCGCTTCATAGGATTTTACTGCAAAGCGTAGTGACTGCGTTTGTGTAGTTGTGCGTGTTGAACATTCAGTTGACCAAACAAACAAACAAATAAATAAATATATCGCGGAGAGAGAGAGAGGGGGCCAGCGAGAGAGAGAGCAGGAGAGAGCGCGTAGGGAAGAGTGGACAGCAGAGATGGAGAGCGCGGGGAGAGAGAGAAATGGGGAAGAAAAAGAGTGGGGGAGAACAGAGGAGAGAGAGAGTGTGGGAGAGAGAGAAAGAGTGGGGTGGGAGAGAGACAGAGCCTAGGGAGAGAGAGCCGGGGAAAGAGAGCCAGGGAGAGAGAGAGAGTGTGGCAGAGGGAGAGTTGTAATCTGTTGCCCATGTCTCAATGTAATTGATACTTCAGTGATGATACTTCACATGGCGTAATCCAAACTAATACACTTGTAAACACCCTGTGCTGCTGGTGTGCATTCATTTATTGGTGTTAGATATTCCGTCTCAGTAAATCTTAGGGCTCGGATGCCCCCAAAGCAATTATAGCTGTGAGCACGATGTAGACAATTATTTTCCTTAAGCTGCACCTTTGTCTCTCTCTCACACGTGCTCTCTCTTTCTCTCTCACGCACTCTCTTTTTTGATCCTTCTCATTTTTGCGCTCTCGATCTTGCACTCACTTGCGCTCTCTCTCCTGCAACCTCTTTCTCTTGCTCTCTGTCGCTCTTTCTCTAGCTGTCTGTCTGTCTCTCACACTCTCTCGCATTCTCTCTCTCTCTTCTAGCCCACTCCCCTTCACAGCAAGATCCTGCAATGTTATTCGAGAAGAGAAAGTAGTTTCTCTCTCCCGGTATTCTGGCCGACAATCCCCCAGATAAAATCGGTCATTCACTTCATGGCTGTTTGTGGGACGATCCTGTGTGCAGTTTGGCTGCTCCATTCACCTACAAAATACACACTCACTGCATTTTACATAAATTCCTGTAAAGCGCTTTGAGACGCCTCGAAGACGTGAAAAGGCGCTGGATCAAATGCACAGATTATTTCTATATTATGCTCATTATAATCGTCTCTGGCAGGCATTTTGCTTGTTATGATCATATCAGCAGTCTCTGAACATTTGTTTTTAATATGGTCTAATTTGCGGATTTCTTAAAAGATTTCTCAACGAGCTGAAACCCTCCAAAATATTGTGGGCCACAGTCTGGAGGGAACGAGTGGGCATGGTGGGTCTGGGGGTGCGCATGAGGTTTGATTCTTGTATAAATCCCAACCTACACCTTCCACACCCAAACCTGCGGAGACCCTCACTGTTATAATATATAATGATCCTTGCATTTGATACAGCCCCTTATCATGTCTACGAGATGTCTCAAATCGCTTCACGGAATATACTGTAAAGTGAATTGACTGTATATTTTGTGGGTGAAATGCAGCAGCCAATTGAACGCAGCAGTGTCCCACAAACAGTCATGGATTGGGTTACCAAATTATTATTGTTATTTTTTTCGAAGGGATTATTAACCCCCGGAAAAGTGATCTGTCAATTGACTAACAATCGGGTTCCTACTTACTGCTAGGTAAACAGTGCGGAGTAAGGAAACTTGCCCAAAGTTTCGCCCTGCTGGGAGTTAAAACCCAGGTCTCTTGCTTGCGAGGGCTCCAACCACTGAGCTACAGGACTCCACTGTTGGCTCAATCATTGAGACTGAAGCTGGTCCCGAAATCTTTCCTCTCTCTGTATTTTTATGGACGTTCCTACAGCTCCCTCACTCTGTGGGGCTCAGTCTCTGCTCCCAGCCAGCGCCCTGTGTCGCTGACTGTACAGAGCTGATCTGTGCTCTTGCCTTTCTTTCTGCAGTTCCTCCAAGACACTTTGGATGCTATGTTCAGTATAATGATGGAGTTTTCCGATATCGACACTTATGATAAATTGGTCTTCGATGCTCTGGTAAGATAGCTAGCAAACTATTTTTATTTGAATGATGTTAAATTGAAGCTGTTTTGTAACTGTGTCTAGGGAGTGAAAATTCTCCACGTCAAGATCCTTGTACTCACTTTTAACACTTTCCATGGTCTTGCCCACTCTTACCTCTGTGACCTTCTTAAACCCTACCAACCCATGCGCTTCTTCCACTCAGCGGACACCAGCCTGCTTCACGTTCCTTGGCCTGCCCGCCCCCGCTGGGCTTTCAGTGTATCTGCCTTCACCCTCGAGAACCCCATCTGGAGTCCATTCACCCAGCCCCTTCCCTTGCCTTCTTCAATTTCCATCTCAACACTTTTGACCATGCCTTTGGTCATCTACCTCCCCCACCCCACCCCCCTTGATCCTCTCCGTATCCAGCCCCCAGCTCGGGTGCAAACCCTCAACTGTCCAGCACCTTGGCATGTCCTCTCAACATGAAAGGCACTATATAACTGCAATATGTAGTTCTTGTTGCTATCACGGAACAGAGGGCTAGTGTTGTTTATCCCGGCCCTAACCCCTGAAACTGCCTCCCTCTACCTCTCCGCCTCCCTCTTCATCTATCTTTAAATCCCTCCAAAGACCTGTAGCAACAACAAATTACATGTGCATTCACGTCGGGAGGATGTCCCAAGGCACTGGACGGTAAAGGATTTGAACCTAGCTCTTAGACTAGGCCAACGGTCAACTGTCCATCGTTCCTTCTCACTCGCTAGGTGTCCAACCCAGAGATGGTGCAAGAACGCTCCCCCTCCCCCCTCTCCCCCCACCCGATCAGTCATTTTGCAGCTGTTTGTGGGATGTCACTGTGCACAAATCGGCTGCTGTGGCTGCCTGCAAACACACAGTAAAGTCCTGCAAAGCACCTTGAGACGTCTTGGTGACGTGATAAGGCACTGCATTGAATGCAATGATGATTATTATAGCATACCACCCTCCCACTCTCTCCCCAGCTCCCCCAGCAAGGCAAAACATCAGAAGAGAAAGATTTTGACAGTGTGTGTCCCAGCAAGGATCGTAGTGACAGCAGCCTCTTTACGTTGTCACTTGGCTGGCTGCATAGAGAGAGAGACTAACCTGCTAATCCCCTCCTTTCAGGGCTCGATGCCTCTGACAAGCTGTAATACAAACAACACCGTTTTGACTGTATTTAAATTGGATTTGACTCCCTCTAGGTCCTTTCCATTAGCATTGGTGAGGGGAAGATAAATAGCCCCACTGTGAGTAATGAATCTGCTCCTCGGGTGCCCCAGCTCCAATGTATGCAGACTGATGGATGGTTCTCTGTCTCACCGCTGGTGTAATTCTTTCATTATAATCTGACATCGTGTTCAGTGAGAGAGAGAGAGAGAGAGGGTGCAAGGGAGGGCATGAGGCAGTGGAGACAGAGATAGAGAGAGGGAATGAGGGAAAGAGAGGGTGGGGGGCACGAGGGAGGGTGCAAGGGAGGAGAGACAGAGAGAGAGGAGGGGGGCGAGGGGAGAGAGACTCAGAGAGAGGGGGAGAGAAAGACCGACAGACAGACAGACAGACAGACAGACAGACAGAGAGAGAGAGGGGGAGAGAGACACAGAGAGAGGGGGCGAGAGAGATAGACAGATAGAGAGGGGGAGAGAAACACAGAGAGAGTGGGAGAGAAAGACAGACAGACAGACAGACAGAGACAGACAGACAGAGAGAGGGGGAGAGAGACACAGAGAGAGGGGGCGAGAGAGATAAACAGATAGAGAGGGGGACAGAGACACAGAGAGAGGGGGAGAGAACGACAGACAGACAGACAGACAGACAGAGAGAGGAGGAGAGAGACACAGAGAGAGGGAGTGAGAGAGATAGACAGATAGAGAGGGGGAGAGAGACACAGAGAGAGGGGGAGAGAAAGACAGACAGACAGACAGACAGACAGACAGACAGACGGGGAGAGGGGGAGAAGGGGAGAGGGGAGAGGGGGAGAGAGACACAGAGAGAGGGGGCGAGAGAGATAGACAGATAGAGAGGGGGAGAGAGACACAGAGAGATGGGGAGAGAGACACAGGGAGAGGGGGCAAGAGAGACAGACAGACAGAAAGAGGAGGGAGAGAGAGAGACGAAAAGAGGGAAACAGAAAGAGAGACAAGTCGATAGAGAGGTGGCATGGGGGACAGACAGACAGACAGACAGAGAAAGAGAGACCGAGAGTTATAGAGAGATAGAAATGGAGAGATACACACACCGAGCATGTGACAGAAAGAGACAGAAACAGACATTGGCTCTAACAGGGCTTTTGTTTAACCCTCTCCTTCCCTTTGCCTTCCGGGGAGGTCAAGTGTGGGTTTTGTTTCCCGGAACCCATGGGCGCCATTTTATTTACATGGCGGAAGCTCTTTTATCAAGAAAGAACGCGACGCGAACAACCACCACCCCTGCTCAGTCGGTAGCGAACTCACCTCCGAGTCAGAAGATCTTGGGTTCATTCCCCAAGTACAGGCTTTGAAGTCACATAGTCCAGACGGACACTCCAGTGCAGTGATGGGGGAGAGCTGCATTGTCAGAGGTGCCATGCATTAGATGAGATGTTAAACCAATCTCCCACCTGTGCCAGTTGAGGTGAACGTTAAAGTGAGTTTCTCTTTCCCAGTGTCTCGGCCAACAATCCCCCAGATAAAATTGGTCATTCATTTCACGGCTGTTTGTGGGAGAGAACTTTGAGGCGTTCTCCTGAGATGAAAGGTTATTAAGGATTATAAACCCCACCCAACGATCCCCTCATCACACATCGACTAAAATCTGTGTTTCTCCACCCTTCAATGGCCCAGCCAGGGTGCGGAGTGATGGAAAGAGATCAGGTCCTGCCCGAGGAATCCTCGCTGTTCACACCCCGTCCAAGTGCACAGGATGTGTCACTAATGCCCTCCCTCTCTGTGATTTCAGATCTTTGTGATCGGGCTGATAGCGGACAGGAAATTCCAGCACTTCAATGCTGTCCTGGAAGCTTACATCAAGCAGCATTTCAGCGCCACCTTGGCTTATAAGTATGTAGGAATATGATAAGAGTAATAATAAGAGTAATAATAAGAGTAATAATGTAATCAGAATAGTAGCAATTGTAATAATGTTATAGTAATAACACTAATAGTGGTAATAATACATTAAACTCCTGATAATTCAACCTTGGTTTAACTTGTCCCTCCCACTTAAGTCATCATGCTGTCAGTATCCCAGACATATTCATTCATTCATTCATTCATTAATTCATTAATTCATTCATTCATTCATTTATTGCGTTTATGTGTTTATGTATTTATTTATGTATTTATACATATGTATTTATGCCTAACTCCTGCTCCTGATAATTCATTACTGAGCCCTTTTCCCTGGATGATGAGTTATCAGGAGTTTACTGTAATAATAATAGTAATAATAATTAATAGATAACATACTTTGGTAACAGTAATTTTAATAATATAATGGGAATAATAGTATAGAACAATAGTAATAACAGTATTAAAAGTAATAATAGTATCAAGAGTAACAGTAATAATAATAATATTATTACTATTACTCTTATTACTTTCAGCCTATCTGCCCCTGCTCTCTGGAACTCCATCCGAAACTCCCTCCTCCCTCCCTTCCTTTGTTCAAGGTCCATTCTCAAAACCTACCTTTTTGACCGTGATTTTGGTCAACATTCCCTTTCCCTGTTCGCCTCGGCTCCCAGTCCCGGCTCGGATGCCCATCCAGCAGTGTGAAGTGCGTTGAGACATCTCCCGATATGAAAGGCACTGTGTAAATGTAAACTGTGCTGTACTAATCCCATCTCTCCGTTCTTTCACCATATCCATTGATACATTTCTCCCCCCCACTTCCCAGTAAACATTAATCTCCCTCTGTCCTGCTTAAATCTTCCCTCTGATCTGTTTCCAGGAAGCTGCTGAGTGTGCTGACCGGATATGTGCACACGGCGAGCCAGGGACTGGAGTGTGAACCACTGAAAAGAGTCTTCAAAGTTCTCGAATATGTCTTCAAGTTTATCGTGCGTTCCAGATGCCTCTTCTCCCAGTATGTTCCTCTCTGTCTCATGGAATCTGGGACCACAGCATAGAGACCGACGCGCTCTCTGCCAGTCTGTCCGGGTCTTTTCTCCGCATCCCAGACAGTGTGGGATAATCAGGGAGGGAGGGAGAGCGCGAGAGAGAAAGAGAGACAGAAAGTGAGAGACAGAGACTGAGAGACAGAGAAAGCGAGAGAAAGATAGCAAGAGAGAGCAGAAAAGAGAGAGAGAGGGAAAGAGAACATGAGAAAAAAGAGTGTGTGAGTGCAAGAGAGAGAGAGAGGGTGAGCGCATGCGAGAGCATGTGAGAGAGGGCAAGTGAACACAGCTAACCAAGTGCTGACTGATTTCAGGTTGTACGAGGGGAAGGAGAAGGCTGAGTTTGAGGCTTCCCTGCAGAGACTCTTTGAGATGTTCAATGCTTTGATGAAATCACGGCTGGAAAATAACATGTTGGTGATGCAGGTAAACACCCCTCAACAGGCTCAATGGATCTAGAGGTTTCCACTGAGAGCTGAGCAGCGAGCTCCAGTGACACACGCTGGGCTGAAACTGACAGTTCAGCACACCGGAATCAATAATTAACAACCGTCTCGCATAAAACCAGTTACTCATGCTGCTTGTGGGACATCTCTTTGTGCAAAATTGGCTGCCAAGTTCGCCTACTTGGCAACACAGTCGCTCCACTTTCCTGTGAAGCGCTTTGAGTTGTCACAGAAGGGAAGGCACTGTATCAAACACAAGTCCTAAATTTGGAGATGAAACGGTTGCGCAGGCTAAGACTAGATGTCATTGTAGTGCTACAAGTGGCTGAGGGCTCTTCAGTCATAAGAGGAAAAGTCTCAGAGGGGATCTTGTAGAGGTGTATAAGATTTTACATGGGATTGAAAAAGTGAACCCAGATCAATATGTTTTGGATACACGGAGACAGTAGAATAAGAGGATTTAGAGATGTAAAGGGCAATTTCATAGCAGCCACCAGGAAATGTTTCTTTACCCAGCGCATAATTACCAACTGGAACATGTTGCTATTCAAGGTGGTTTGAGGACAGGACACTGGGAGTTATTTAAAAACAGCTTGCTGCAGTGAAAGGAGGATGGCGGGTGTCCTGCAGGGATGAGATCGGATGGGCTGATGGGTCGACTTCATCCAAACCCATTGTTGTGAAGGAGAAAAACACCCACAAAGTACACAGTCACAGCCCTTTACAACAACAACTTGCGTTTATATATCGCCCCTCATGCAGGGTAGCGTCCCAGAGCGCTTATCCTTTACAGTGTATCCTGTGACGTGCTTTGAGACGTATCGATTATGTGATAAGGTGCTATATCAAACGCAAGGATTATTGTTAATATTCCCCTCTCCCATTCTCTTTAATTGTGCCTCTTAAGTAAAACCTCTCATCTCTGTTCTCTTCTGTTACCACAGGGGGCTTCCCTGAAATACCTGCCGAGTATATTACAAGACGTTATGACTCTGTTTGATCCTGTGATCCTGAGGTAACCTCAACCGCTTCTCTCTTAGTCTTTAAATTAACTAATTAATTTATTTATTAATAATGAGGCTAAACTCCCAGCACCGTGATGTGCTATGTGTTATTTGTCAAGATTGAGGTTCATTTGGTTCAATTTGGTTTTGGGTTTAATTTGGTTTAACCCTCTATGACCGTCTCTAGTCTAGTTCCTGAGCCAGGCGGGTCTGCAGTATTCCAGGGTACTGCTGATGACAGCACAGCCCAGCCTGGCTCATCGGCAGGACCTGGAAAGTCAGACCAGTCACTGGGGGCAAGGAGTCATCCCACTCAGCTCCCGTTAACCCTGCAAGCCAAAGCCCTTTCGGTTAGGGTGGTCCTAGCTGGACAAGCAGCGGGAATCATGCCAGACCGTGATTTCAATGCAAAGCCTATGTGGTTTTAGCTGATTAAAATCTCCCCCAACCCCCACCCAACACACAGTCTTTCATCTTGCTAACCTGCAAAGATCAGCTAAGCAGTGTGAGACCCTGTGGGGAGAGCACAAGCATTCCATTCCAGACCAGGGATATAAAAAAATTATATAATCAGAGATATAATCAAATATGTGAAAGCCTGGCTCAGTTGGTAGCACTCATCCCTCCACCCACCCACCACCCTCAAACCTCCCAGCTCAGGGATGCTGATGCCACTAAACTGTCAATGAGGGGAACCCCAGCCTCAGATCAGAGTGTGACACATTGTTGGAGCAGGGTATGTGGTCTGTTAATGAGGCTCCTGTGCCCATTGGACTTGCTAAACAAAAGACTCAAGCAGCAGCAGCACAGTCTGTCAGCCTTTTAAATGCGGGCTGGTGTGGCTGAGAGCTTCTAGCTGGATAAATAGCAGCACGGCAACAATAACACCAGCTAGTCTGCCTCACTCTGGCAGCAGCATGTTCTCCGCTGAGCCAGAAGGTTGTGGGTTCAAGCCCTCCTCCCCTCCTCCCTCAACTGTGAGCTCACAGTCTAGGCTGACCCTTCGGTGTGGTGCTGGGGGAGAGCGCTGCATTGTCGGAGATGCCATCCTTCAGATGAGGCGTTAAAGATCCCACGGCACTACTCGAAAGGAGAAGGGAATTTCACTTTCCCAGTGTCATGGCCGACAATACACCCCTCAAATAAAGGGCTATAGGAGCGGAATAGAGGGGTGTAGGAGAGGGGAATAGAGGGGTGTAGGAGAGGTAAATAGCGGGATGTAGGATAGGGGAATAGAGGGGTATAGGAGAGGGGAGTAGAGGGGTGTAGGAGAGGGGAGTAGAGGGGTGTAGGAGGGGGGAATAGAGGGGTGAGGAGAGGGGAATAGAGGGGTGTAGGAGAGGAGTATAGGGGTTTGGGCGAGGGGACTAGAGGGGTGGAGATTGGTGTGGAGAATAAACACTGGCAAGGATTAATTGGGCCGAGTGGCCTGTTTTTGTGCCGTACAATCTTATCTATTTTCAAACTGACTTCATCTGAGTTAATTAACGCATCGAACATCAGCACAGTTGAACAAAAGAACATAAGTTTAGCGTTGCAGTTTCAGGACAGACACCAGGACGTTTATCTTTACCCAGAGGGTAATTAACAAGTGTAGTGGGTTTACCAGGCAGAGTGGTTGAGGTCAGGATGCTGGGCTCATTTATGAAAAGGTTGAATGCTGTGACAGGGAGAGGGATGGTCTGGAGGGATGAGATCGAATGGGGCAAACGGGGGTTCTTCACCCAGACCCATTTTGATGTCTGTGAGACTGCATGACATAACCCACCCCTGCAAAAAATTAATCATCAATTCCAATGACTCCCCCATTCCTCATTGGTGTGATTTAGTGCCTCTGTTGGGGAATAGGAAGGATGGCTGTTATTATGCTGTGAACTCAGGCTTGCAGAGAACTCCGCTGACTCTGTGATCTATTTAAAAGTCCCTGCGAGACATTCCTCCCTCACGGCCCACAATCAAAGCACAGCCCGAGCAATTTGCAAGCCTTGCAATTCAGTCAACAGTGGACCCCATTATAAATGATTTATTTTACAATAAAATGATAATGCTTACATTCAATACAGTGCCTTTCATGCCAGGAGGACTTCACTGGATTTCCTATAGAGTGCAGTGACTGTGTATTTTGTAGGCAAATGCAGTAGCAAAATTACACACAGCAATGTCTCGCAAACAGCCATGATCTATTTTAATTTGGGGATTATTAACCAGGACACTATGGGCATGAACCCACAATTTTGTGACTCAGAGATGAGAGTGCAAGTGACTGAGCCAGGCTGGCACACATATAGAGTGAATAAGAAAACAGATTTTCACAAATGTGGAATTCAATCTTCTGGAAAGCTTGTAGATGCTGGGCCAAATGAAGAATATAATACAGATTTACATTTACGCAGCGTCTTTAACGTCGGGAGGACATTCCAAGGTACTGGACTTTCCAGGATTTGCACTGAGCTGAGTGTGGGAGTCAAGGAGGTGGGGGCAAGGAGGTCGAAGTAGGGGAAGATGAGCAAATTCACATTAATGAAGTGATGAGGAAGGTGTTGAAGTGGACCTTGAACAAGATGAGTGAATGGGCAAGGTGAAGGGATGCCTGTCGATTATAGGATATTGCTTTAAGAAGTTAAATGGCAATTAAGAAAGAGCCAATGAACCAGAAGCAGGAAGTATAAAAGCATCCTGAGAAGGGAGCCAGGGTGTGGGTTTATAGTTGGAAATAGGGAATAAAGGATTACAATACAGCAGCGTTGTGGATTAAGAATCATTACATTGATCCTCTGGAGGATGGGAGCTAGTGGAGCCAGGCAAGGCTGGGGGTGATAAGGATCATAAAATGATACAAGTAAGAGGGAGGAGTAGATGAATATTTGGTGGTCCTGGGGGAAGGGGGGTGGTATCAAGGGATATGGGGAAATGGAATTAAGTGGATGATCAACAACAACAATATACACAGCACCTTGCATATGTGTCAAGGTAGGTCAGCGGACTAGGAGCCTGAGCTGGTGGGGGAGTGTGTGAACATAGAAGATCACCGAAAGCACGGTTGAAATGTTAGATCTTAAGGGGGGTTTTGAAGGTGGGAAGGAGGAGTTGGGAGGCGAGGCAGAGGAAGTTCCTGAGGGCAGAATGACTGAAAGTTTGCCGGCCGATGGGGGTTGATTGGGTGGGATGTGTGGGGAGGGGACTTTCCACTCCCACTCATACCTCCTTGTGTTTTTACCCACCCCCTCCCTCTCCCATTTTAGCCATTTGCTGCGTGATTTCATCATGAACGTGGCCCCAGAACGTCTGGTCAAACACAAATTACAGTCAATGATGGGAATCGTCAACACGAAACTCTTTGAGAGAGAAGGTAGGCTGAGCGTGGAGTGAAAGTGGGACATCTTCTCCCTCCCCAATTGTTCAAAGAACACATCTATAAACAATACAAATAAACATCCGTAATAATAATATTCTTTGCATTTGATGTAGCACCTTATCACTTCGTTGAGATGTTTCAAAGCGCTTCACAGGATCTTTCGCAAAGTGCAGTGACTGTGTTTTTGGGGCAAACGAGGAAGCCAATTTGCGCACAGCCAATGTTCACAAACAACAACAACCTGGATTTATATAGCGCCTTCCACGCCGGATGGCGTCTCGGAGCTTCACAGTAATGGATCCCGGGACCGAGCCAGGGGGAGGGGGAGGGGGAGGAAGGTGACCAAAGGCGCGGTCGAAAAGAAAGGTCTTCAGCAGAGACCTGAAAATAGGAAGGGAGGGAGCGTGATGAAAGGAGCGAGGAAGGGAGTTCCAGAGCCTCGGGGTATTGTGGCTGAAGGCATGGCCGCCGAGGGTGGAGCGGAGGATTCGGGGGACGAGGAGGAGGCCAGACCCGGAGGAATGAAGGCAACGGTTACTGTTTTGAGGAGAGAGGAGGTCGGAGAGGTAGAGGGATGCAGAGGAGTGCAGGGACTTGAATACAAGGGTGAGGATCTTGAAATCGATCCTCTCTGGGATAGGCAGCCAGTGCAGTCTGGCAAGGACTGGGGTGATCGGGGAGCGGAGTTTCGTGCAGGTGAGAATGCGGGCGGCAGAGTTTTGAATGATTTGGATTTTATGGATGGTAGTGGACGGGAGGCCGGCGAGGAGGGGGTTAGAATAGTCCAGCCGAGAGGTGACAAAGGCATGGATTAGGGTTTCAGCGGCTTTTGGAGTGAGGTTTTGGCAGAGACGGGCGATGTGTCGGAGGTGGAAGAAGGTGGTGCTGGTGAGGGCTGGATGTGGAGGAGGAAGGATAATTGGGGGTCAAACTTAACGCCGAGGTTGCCATGAAGTGAATGACTGATTTATTCTGGGCGGATTGTCAGCCAGGACACCAGGAGAGAGAAACTTTTTTTCTCTTTTTCCAAAAGCCCTGCGCGATCTTTAACATCCGTCTGAACAGGGCATAGAAGGGGAGCTCGGTTTAACTTTTCATCTGAAGGACGGTACTTCTGACAGTGTCGTGGCTCCCCCCAGCCTTGTATTGGAGTGTCATCTTAGACTGTGAAGTAAAAAGTCCTGACGCGGGGGATTTCCTGACACTTGTTCAATGCCAGAGAAAACAGGAACAGCGTTAAGGATATCGGCAGCAGACTCTGCCTGCCAATCTCGATCTTTGGAGGTTGAAACCAATTTTACAAGACATTAATGGAAATCCAGTGACGCACGAGAGACAGGATTGTTCTACACGCCGCTGTGTACAGCATCAGCCCTAGAGCAACCTGTCTCTACAAGCTCAGGCTGTGTTCTAATAATAATAGTAATCAGTCATTTACTTCATGGCTGTTTGTGGGATATTGCTACGTGTATATGGCTTGCCCAGAAAATATACAGTCACTGCACTTCACAGTATATCCTGTAACGCTCTTTGAGACGTCCTCCTGAAATGATTGGTGCTAATAACAAATCTGATGGTTACTCATTTATTTTATTTATGAGCAATTTTTTAATTATATAAGATTCCATGGATATCAAGTACAATATAATTATTGGTTGTAAGAGAATGTGAACAACACACATATTGAGGTCCTTAACATCAATAGCTGTCCTAATCCTCTTGAAAGTCAGAAGTGTATGCATATACATTAATTATGTAAAGTATATTTGACTACAAATATTATCACTACACTTGCCAGCAATTATCTGTGAACCATTTTGAGATGATGTGATATTATTGATGTTGTGTAATCAAATGCAAGGATTATTGCAAGGATTATCATAAAAATAATAATCTGGTTACTCAATCCACGACTGTTTGTGGGACATTGCTGTGTGAAATTGGCTGCTGTGTTTTGCCCACAAAATATACAGTCACTACACTTTACTGTATATTGTGTAAAGCACTTTGCGACGTCTCAAAGAAGTGGTAAGGCTCTATATCAAAAGCAAGGATTTGATATTGCACGTTTGGTACAGCGCCCATAACACCAAAACCTCTCAAGGCACTTCAACAACTTGCCCTTCCATCCCCTTTCAAAGCAGAGAAACACCATTGGAAAGGACGAGGGAGTTTCTCTCTCCCTGTGTCGTGCCCAACAATCCTGCAGATAAAATCGGTCATTCAATTCACAACTGTTTGTGGGACATAGCTGTGTGCAAATTGGCTGTCGCATTCACTACACAAAACACAATCACGCTGCTTTATCATAAATCCTGTGCAGCGTTTTGAGATGTGACGAGATGACATGATTGGTTTGAATGAAGAAGGCCCTTCAGTCCATCTGATCTCATCCCTCCAGAACACCCACCTACTGCACTCTGCCATTCCCCCACTTCCCCAATTCCCACCCTTCCCCTTCCACCCCGATTACAGAATCAAGGTTTTTTTTAAATAAGTCCCAGTGACTAGTTTAAGAGGAAGAGTGGTCATTGTCCCCCGAGTTGGGACATGAACGGCACTATACCAGTGCAATTTGTTGTTGTTGTTATCCCCTCTGAGATGCCTCCTGGCCTGTCTAAACTTTGAGGTTACAGGCGCTGCGTGGAATGAGAAGGGGATAGCGATGTTCAGCAAGGGTGTGGACTGACCCCCCCCTCCCACTTTCCCCCACTGCAGAGTGCCGTGCCATCCTGCTGCCCATGATGACGACAATGCTGAAGGAGTTGATCGAGCGTAGCGAGGAGGAGCAGGACAGCATCGAGCTGCTCAGTAACCTGTTGGAGGTTCTTTACCGGCCCAACGTGGTAAGCTCAGTGCTCAACAATAACATCAACTCGCACTTACACAGTACCCATCACACAGGTAGCAACTTGCAGCGCTTAACAGTGGTGGAGCTTGACACTGAGCATGGGGATGGGGTGGGAGAGGGGAGGTGACCGTAGACATGGTCGAAGAGGAAATTCTTCGGGTACGCTCTAAAGACAGGCAAAGAGGAGGTTTAGAGGCAGGGAGTGAAAGTGTCTTGGGGCGCAGTGGGTAAAGCATGGTTGCCTACGGGTGGAGTGGAGGGAGTGAGAGACGTGCAGAAAGCCCGAGCCAAACGAACAAAGCGGACGGATCAAGGAGTAGGGTGTAAGTAGGTGCGAGCTACCCGGTATGAAGGGCGCAACGTGAATGCAAGTTTGTTGTTGTAAAGAGCTTCCCGAAGTAAAAGATGTTGGTTGAATTTAAATATGTGACAGCCTGGTACTCTTGCCTTCGAGTCAGAAATTTGTGGGTTCAAGCCCCACGTCAGAATTGAGAATCACATAGTCAAAGTTGACACGCCAATGCGGTGTTGGGGAGTGTGCGCCCGGCGTGGAGGGCACTATATAAATACAAGTTGTTGATGTTGTTGTTATTGTCGGAGGTGCCGTCTTTCAGGTGAGACATTAAACCGAGATCCTGTCTACCTGTTCAGGAGGATGTTAAAGATCCCGTGACGCTATTAGAATAAAGAAGGGAGTTTCTCTTTCCCGATGTCCTGGCCAAGAATTCCCCAAATAAAATTGGTCACTCACTCTATGGGTGTTTTGGGGATATTGCTATGCGCAACTGGCTGCTGCAATTTGCTCACAAAATACATAGTTAATCCACTCTCCACTCTGTGAAGCATATTGAGACGTTTCAACGACGTGATATCCTTTATAAGGATTATTATTATTAATCCAATTCCCTGCTCTTCCCCCATTATGTTTGTGCTGGTGATTGTTCCCCCCCCCGTCTCCCCATCTCCCTGCACCCCCATAAGTCCTCCTTCAGTGGCACAATTCCTCTAAGTCCTATCTATTGCGTGCTCTTTCCCCATGCCCTCTGTGTATCTCTATCTGTTCGCAGTATTCTATCAGTTATTTGTATCTATGCCATTAAGTTTCTGTATGAGTTTTCACCCGTCGTTTGTATCTCTGACAGTATTAGTAATTACAAATCAATCTCTGTAATTTGTGAGTAGACACACGCATTTCATTAACGTTTCTGTGCAGCCGAGGCTTGAATCCAATGATTTATTCCCTGTAGCAAATAACCCGGTGTTACAAGTGCTGCTTAATGGAACCATGCAGGGGAAACACTGTGATTTGAGTTGCAATACTATTTGATCATAGCGCCTTATCACGTCAAACAGGTCTCTATCGGATTTTAGTGACAGTTGTATTTCTTGGTGAATGTGGGCAGCTAATTTGTGTCAAAGTCCCACAAACAGCCATGGAGTGTGAGTGATCAGTTTTATCTGGGGGATTGTCAGCCAAGACACCAGGAGAGAGAAACTCCCTTCTCTTTCTCGAATAGCGCTGTGGGATCTTTTAATCACCCACTATCGGTGGCCATGCCTTCAGCCACTAGGCCCCTAACCTCTGGAGCTCCCTGCTTCTATCCCTCGCCCCACTCGTGCCTTCGTTGTGGAGTCCGTTAGCTTATGGTTAGAGCATTCACCGAGAGGATCTGGGTTCGATTCCCGGGCAGGGTGAAACTTTGGGCAAATTTCCTTATTCCACATGCCTGTTTACCTACCAGTAAGTAGGAACCCGGTTGTTAGTCGATTGGCGGATCACTTTTCCGGGGTTAATAATCCCTTAAAAAAAACTGTAAAGGAAAAAAATAATTTAGTCAATTGATCCACGATTGTTTGTGGGACACTGCTGGGTGCAATTTAGTTTTGCCAACAAAATATGCAGTCAATTCACTTTCCAGTATATTCTGCCTTTTGAGACATTTCGAAGACATGATAAGGCACGATATCAAATGCAAGGATTATTATTTTAAATTATTTTTAAATTATTTATTTTATTGTTTTTTTTAAATCCCCAAACAACCTCTCTCTGGTCAGCTCCCTCACCCCCTTCTCCCTTGCTCGGCTTCCAAACTCGCAACTAACCATTAAGCGTTGTAAGATGTCATCCTGCATAAAGGCAGTGTATAAATGCAAGTTGTTGTTGGTAACATCCACTTAAACAGGGCATGGATTGGAACCTCAGTTTAACATCTCATCCTATGTCAGCAGCTCTAACGATGCAGCGCTCCTCCTCCCTCCAACATAGACAGCGAGCTCAAACTCCCCAAAGTGTGGCTTGAACCCACAACCATCTAAGTCGGAAGTGAGAGTGGGACTAACTGAGCCAGGCTGAATTGTCACAAGGGTAGAAAATGAGACAGAAGATTGTGGGTTCAAGGGTGGGGAGCTCACAATATAGGCTGATGCTCCAAAACAGTGATGGGGGGAACACTGCATTGTGAGAGGTACCATCCTTCAGATGAGATGTTAAACTAAGCTCCTGACTGTGCCTGTTCAGGTGGATGTTAAAAATCCTGTGCCATGATTGGAAAAGACAAGGAAGTTTCTCTCCCGGTGTCCTGGTGAGAAAGCCCCCAGATAAAATTCACCTCAGGGCTGTTTGTGGGACTTTGCTGTGCTCAAATTGGCTGCAACGTTCGCCTACAAATTAAACAGATACTATATTTTACTGTAAAATCCTGTAGAATGCTTTGAGACTGGAATGAAAGGCTATAAATCAAAAGGAATGATTGCTATTACTATTATTCAGTCAACTTACTAAGAAAGCTGTTTCAATTCATGGCTTGTAATGTGGGGAATAGATGTTTGGGTGAAAAAAAATTGTGTTGTAAATAGTGAGTGATTCGTAGTCAGGGGGGCAATTAATGCACTGTTTGCATTCCACACTCATAGGAAGGTAATAACCTGCCTTTCAATAAATTATTACATTTAATTTTTAACGTGGGTCGGCTTGTAAATTACAAGTGTGACTCGTGCTTAAAATTAAGATAACAGAGGACTCCTTTATCTCAACCTTTCAGAGGATGTTACCTAGGACTCGAGAATCTAATATAGAAAAAAAATCAGAAGGCTGTGGTTTCAAGACCCCATGTTAGGAACTTTGAGTTCACACGGTCTAGGCTGATGCTCCAGTGTAGTGCTGGGGGCAGTGTTGCATTGTCGGAGGTGCCGTCCTCAGGATGAGATGTTGAACCAAGCTCCCGTCTGTGCCCTATTCAGGTGGATGTTAATAATTGAGCGACTCCACTTGAAAAGAGAAGGGAGTTTCTCTCTCCCAGTGTCCTGGCCGATAATCCCACTGATTAAAAAAAAACAGTAGTCACTCATTTCCATGACTGTTTGTGGGACACAAATTTGTGTCTGTGCAGAAATTGGCTGCTGTGTTGGCCTACAAAATACAGTTACTACACCTTGCAGAAAACTTTGTGAGGCACGTTTGAAGCCTACAAGATACACAGTCACTACACATTGCAGTAAATCCTGGTATGCTTTGAGACGTCCCCTCGATAGGAAAGGCAGGTGCTCTCCGTATAGTCCCACTCCCTTTTCCACCATGATGGGTAGGATGGTTCTAGCTGGACAAGCAGCGGGAAGCTTGTCATATAGTGCATTCAATGGTAAACTCCAAGCTGGTTAAACTCCAGCAGTTTCCCCCTCTAGGGAGAGGGAGCGCGCATTCCATTCCAGACTTGCTGATTCCCATGTGTGGGTGGGATCCATGGCGCTCTCAGTTTTAAGCATGGTAATCAGACAGACACCTTTCTAATGTCGCCCCCCCCTCCCCCCCCAAAAAAATTGCGTCCTTTCCTTCCCCAATAGACCCATAGAAATTTACCACACAGAAGGCCAGTCGGCCCATTGTGTCTGTGCCAGCTTCTGTAAGAGCAATCTGTTCATTCTCATTTACCTACCCTTACCCCATAACCCTGCAGCTGACTCATTGTAAGATATTTATTTAACTCCCTTTCGAAAGCCAATATGGATTGTGCCTCAACACACATCCTTACAGACTGTTCCTTTGTGGAATACTTGCCTGTTTTCTTTGTGAGCGTGAAAGCAAAAGGAAGAGATGAGAGTGTTTTGCTCATTGCTCTGAATGATATGATCTACAGCTCCTGTCGGCCACAGCTCTGCTTTTCTTCCCTGTGCTTTCTCAGAGGCTTTTTGATGTCTCCTAGCCTACATTTAACCTCAGGTCCTGTTTATCAGACAATGAGACGCTATTGATTCCTGGGCTCAGGGTGTCTTTGGACACCTTTCATCCCCCGGCTTCTGAGAAAACTATTAAAGTCTTTTGAGATTAAAAAAAATCTGTCATTCTTTTCAATCCCATTCGGGATTTCTCACCCTGATGAGGGAGCCAAGGAGAGGGGGAGCCAGGGGGAGAGGGGGAGCCAGGGGAAGAGTGGGAGTCAGTAAGGAAGTGCAGGAGTGGATCAGTGAGGGATTGAGGCGGCGAGAGAGCAAGGCACCGCGGAAGCTGTCCTGATCGGTGATGTCAAAATTGAACCCCACCCCCCCCACCCCTTTTTCTCCCCTTCCTCTTCTCTTCTCTCCTCCGTTCTTCCTCACATTCCTCCCCCAGCTCCCTCCTCCTCCACTGCCTGTTTTCTGCTCGCATGTGACAGAGCCCCTGGATCACTCTTGGAAGCTGTGGTTGAATCAGAAGGTATCAACGTATTTAAGAAAAAATTTGATACATCCCTAAGGGAGAAAGGTATAGAAAAAAAACTGTGCTTTTGATATGGCACGTCGTTGAGAAGTCTTAAAGAGCTTCACAGGAATTATTGTAAAGTGTAGTGACTGTGTTTTGTAGGGGAACGTGAAAACCAATTTGGACACAGTAACACTCCACAAACAGCCGTGAAGCGAGTGACTGATTTTATCTGTGGGATTGTTGACCAGGATACTAGGAGAGAGACATTCACTTGTCTTTTTGAATAGCGCTGCGGGATCTTTAACATCCAACTGGACAGGCACAGAGAAGGAGTTCGGTAAACATTTAATCCAATGGACAATAAAGGAGAGAGAGGGAGAAATAAGTTTATTCTTATTCTGATATTGTGATTATTTGGAATCAGCTTGGGTCTAAATCCCTGACTGTCCAGCGCCTTGGGACGTACTCCCAACGTGAAAGGCGTTGTACAAATGTTATTTTGTATTGTATTATTATTATCATCAATAATAAACCTCTTGGAGTCTCATAACATTTGCCCCCTCCCTCACCTCTTTCAAAGTCTGTATTAAGACCTACCTCTTCGACTGCTCATTTCCATCATCTTTCCCCTCCATATACCCACCTCAGCTCCTAGCCCCAGCTCGGGTGCCGAGCCAGGATTGTTAAGTGCCTTGGGAAGAGCTCCTAAGGTGAAAGGCGCCATGTGTGAATGTGAATTCGTACTGCACTGTTGCATTGTTAACTCTGCCTGTGTCCCGTCAGGGCAACACATACGAGAACATCCAGGATATAATGGACAAGCTGCTTCGCACAGTCAACCGGATGGTTATCATCCTCGGGAGAGACCACCAGCTAATCGTGAGTACCCCTCACCTCATCTGCTTTGTCCCCACAAACAAACATTCTCTCTGTAGGCCGCACCTCGCTCTAAGAGCAGATCTTCCCAACTCCCTCCATCGCTCTCTGCTCCATCGATACCATTATAGGTGTGGCTGGTGTGCATGCACGGGAAGGGGTGCCTGAGGGAAAGGGGAGAAGGTTTATTATTGCAATGTAAGAACTGTTGAGGTGAAATTGACTTTTTTGTTTCTGATAGAATTTAGTACTTCATTGCCACCTGACTCCATTTCAGCGTGCAGCAGGTTACCCATGCATTCAGGGGGCTATTGGTACAGTCTGGGGCAAGTCCCCTTCATGTGGTCACCGCTATGTTCGTGGGGATATTGGGGCTCTCTGGGAAGTACCTTTTGTGAAGTTTGGAGCGTGTTTGGAGCTTTTGCACATTGGGAGGAGGGAAGGGTCTGACTGGAAGCTCCTCATGCTTGTTTGATCTTAGGTAAAGTACATGCTTTATAACTGGTATTTGGTGTGTGGATTAATTCCTGATTCCAATGTGGTCACGAACCAGAGCCTTTCTCTTTCCAACAACAACAACTTGCATTGACACAGGGACCTTCATGCAGGGTAGCGTCTTGGAGCATTTAACAAGAGCGAAGCTTGATGTCGACCCGGGGAGGGGAGGACATGACGTAAACACTGTCGATGGCGAAGGTCTTCAGGTGTGATCTGAAGATGGGAAAGGCAGAGGGATTGTGGCAAGGAGTTTTGGGGTGTAGGGGCTGAAAGCACGGCCGCTGATGGTGGAGCGGAGTGGACAAGAGATGTGCAGGAGGCCGGAGCCAGCTGAGCAAAGGTGGCAGGTAGAGGCGTGGCGTATGAGCAGGTTGGAGAGGTAGGGAGGTGCCACAGTGTGAAGTGATTTGTAGGTGACCCTGTGAGGATCCTGAATTTGATTCGTTCTGCAATAAAGAGCCAGTGGAGGCTCAAACTCACGCTTGTCAGATGTCAAATGACCAACTAGTGACTGTACTCCTTGTGGGGTTTGTAGGGGGGAGGTAAGCGGGGGTCACCTTGGAGCTGAACTGGCTTGAAGGTGACATGTTTGGCAACGAAATGTCAGAATCGAGCCAGCTCTCTGTGATGGTCTCTTGTCTGGTTCCTGAGCCAGCTGTACTAAAGGGCACTGCTGATAACAACAATAATAATAATTGCCTTATTACGTCTTCGAGATGTCTCAAAGCGTTTCACAGAATATACTGTAAAGTTAATTGACTGTATATTTTGTAGGCGAAACGCGGCAGCCAATTGTGCAGAGCAGCGTCCCACAAACAGTCATGGATTCAGTTGACCAATTTATTATTGTTATTTTTTTGAAGGAAATTATTACCCCCGGAAAAGCGATCCGCCATTTGACTAACAACCGGGTTCCTACTTACTGCTTGGTAAACAGAGGTGTGTGCAGCAAGGAAACGTGCCCAACATTTTGCTGTGCCGAGAATCGTACCCAGGTCTCTCGCTTGCGAGGCGAGTGCTCTAACCACTGAGCTACAAGACTCCATAGTGATGACGGATGACAGCACAGTCAGCCTGGCTCATCGGCAGGACTTGGAAGGGCAGACGAGTCACTGGAGGCAGGGACTCTTCAGGCTCAGCTCCCACTAACCCTGCAAACCAAAGCCCTAATGGGTAGGGTGGTTCTAGCTGGACAAGCAGTTGGAATCCTGTCAGACAGTGCTCTCGAAGGCAAGCTTTGCAGTTTCAACTGGTTAAACTCCAGGATTTACTCCAACGCACACTCTGTGGTCCCCAAGCCTTAGCTCTTGCCAACCTGCACCTAATACTATAATAGTAATAATATTCACGTGTTCGAGATGTGCTAAAACGCTTCACAGAATATATTGTAAATTGGATTGACTGTATATTTTGTCGGCGAAATGCAGGGCCAATTGTGCAATGCAGTGTCCCACAAACAGTTGTGGATTGAGTTACTTTTTTTGGTAAGGTTTATTACTCCCAGGAAAGTGATCCGTCAATCGACTGAAAGGTAGGTTCCTTGTTATTTTACGGTTAGATAAACAGAGGCCCTGAGATGGGGATTTTACAATGTTACAGTGTACATCAGCTGTATGGATTACTAATACTCTCCAGAATTAGGTAAGCAGGCTGTATCCAACAACAACAACAACATGGATTTATAACTTGGATTTATATAGCGCCCTCCACGTCGGACGGTGTCTCAAAGCGCTTCACAGTAACGGATCCCGGGGCTGAGCCAGGGGGAGGGGGAGGAAGGTGACCAAAGGCGTGGTCAAAAAGAAAGATCTTCAGCTGAGACCTGAAAATAGGAAGAGGGGGAGCGAGACGAAGGGAGTTCCAGAGCCTCGGGGCATAGTGGCTGAAGGCATGGCCGCCGAGGGTGGAGCGGAGGACTCGGGGGACGAGGAGAAGGCCAGACCCGGAGGAATGAAGGCAACAGGTACTGTTTTGAGCAGAGAGGAGGTCAGAGAGGTCGGGGGTGCAGAGGAGTGAAGGGACTTGAATACAAGGGTGAGAATTTTGAAGTCGATCCTCTCTGGGATAGGGAGCCAGTGCAGTCTGGCAAGGACTGGGGTGATCGGGGAGCGGAGTTTGGTGCGGGTGAGAATGTGGGAGGCAGAGTTTTGAATAATCTGGATTTTATGGATGGTAGGGGATGGGAGGCCGGCGAGGAGGGCGTTAGAGTAGTCCAGGCAGTGAGTGCACATTGCATTCCAAGAAATATCTTGGGAATTTCCGTGTGCAGGTGGGATGTATGTAATTCTCAGTTTGTTGTGGATACTCTTAAGCATGGTGATGGGTTTCCTCCTAGCAAGGATTGTGGAAATGGAGATACGGCGGGAGGGGTGGGGGGAGGAAGGGGTTTATATTTTCCAAGGTTTTGCAGGGGGAGTAGAATGGGCGGGGGACAAAGACTGAATGCATGAGAGGTGAGAATCCTCTCTCTGTGTGACTTTGACCTTGATGTAGTGCTGACGATTACACTGAGTTATACAATAAGCAGAGCTTGTCCCATTGTGATACACTCAGAGCGCGGTGGAGGCTCCCTGCTGAGAACGCAAGTGAACGGCTTGCACAGGGGAGGATGAGAATTGGAGGCGAGAACTGAGCGGGGGAATTCATGTGGTGCCTGGGCTCTGTCGCAGGAGCCTTACGTGACTCAGTCATTCCTCCTGATTGAACCCTCTCAGTCCAGCCCACCCGCAGACGGTAACCCTTTCACCCTTGGACTTATTTCTTTTGTTGTAAAACAAAAGGTTCATTTAAAACTGGTGAAGTTCAGTGTAGTTTTTTTGGTGTCTGTGTTTGCATCTGTGTGCAGTTATGTGCGTGTGCATGTGTGTCTGCGTGCATGTTTGTGCGAGTGTATGTCTATCTGTATGTCTCTGTGTATATCTGTGTAGCTGCGCATGTGTGCCTGCATGCGTGCACGCACATATATGTGTCTGTGTGGGTTTGTGCGTCCGTATATATGTGCGTGTGAGTGGTTGTTTGTGTGTGAGTGTGTGTGCGTGTGTGTGTATGTGTGTGTGTTTGTGTGAGCGTGTGTGTGTGTGTGTGTGTTGGGAAATGACGAGCCAGTGGAGCCTGGTGAGGATTGGGTTGATGGTTGTATGGAATTTGGTGCAGATTAGGATGTGGGCTGCAGAGTTTTGGATGATCGTACTGTGTGGATGAAAGAGGTGTGGATGTTAAAAAGGAAACATTAAATAACAAGGAATGTTTGACACCGGATAAAAAAAACACGGATTCATTGTAATGACGAGCGACACTGCAGCTTATAAAGATGTATTACTCAGCCGAATAATAGGCACCTGAGTACAAGTCTATTACATGCTCAGTGATCTGACTGGGCTGTGTTTCTACATCACCGTTCCTTCTCAGGCAGAGCAAACGTCAGTCTGGCTCAGGCAATTGGCAGCACTCTCGCCTCCGAGTCAGAAGGTTGTGGGTTCAAACCCCCACATCGGGCACTTTGAGCTCAGGACAGTTTATTGGGGGGCAGCCGGGTATCTGACACCCTCGGCAACCCATCACCCTGCCTTAAGAGTATCCGAACCAGTCTGAGAGCTCCAGCCTGCTTCATCTTCCCCACCTCGCCCGCCCCACCATTAACGGGCGGGCCTTCTGCCACTCTGCCCCAACTTCTGGAACTTCATCCCGAGGTCCCTCCACCTTGCCCCTCCCTTGCCTCCTTCAAGACCCATCTCAAGAGCCTCCACTTCGACCATGCCTTCGGTCACCCTCCTTCCCCCTCTAACCTCCACCTTCTCCAATTCCGACCTCCAGCTCGGGTCTGAAACACTGATTGTCCAGCGTTTTGGGACATCCTCTCGACGTGAAAGGCGCTGTACGAATATAGTTTTGTTGTTGTTGTTGGAGGCAGAACAGGGCACAGAAGGGGCTTGGGTTTAACGTCTCATGCAAAGGACGGCACCTCTGACAATGCAATGCACCCCCACTACCACACTGGAGCGTCAACCTAGACAATTTAAGTTTAAAGTCCATGATGCGGGGCTTGGACACACAACCTTCCAACTCAGAGGCAAAATCGCTGGCATCTGAGCATGATATCTGGGGAGAGATTGTTGGCCAGGGCCACTGGGAGAAACTCTCCTCTCTTTTTCGAGTAGTGCCACGGAATCTTTAATGGCACAGTCGGGACCTTGGAACATCTGGCCTTAAGGATGGCACCTCCGACAATGCAAGCACTGCACCCCCACCCACCCATCCACCCACCGAGCACTGCGCTGGAGCATCAGCCGAGGCTGTGTGACTTAATATCATTACCTCCCTCACATACCTACTAATTACAACCACTAATAATATAATCCTTGCACTTGAGACGTCTCAAAACGCTCATAGGACTCAATAAGAAGAATCCTTGCATTTGATACAACTCCTTTCAAATCAGGAGACCATCACAAAGCACTTCACAAGATTCACTGTAAAGTGTAGTGACTGTGTATTTTGTGGGTGAA